TTATAAACGTAGTTTACTATAGTGTACTTTGTTAGTTTTTGTCCAACAGAATACATTTCATAATGCAGCATCGATTTGTTATGATTATGGAAAGAAATTCGTCGCATGTTTAATTGGGTTTAAGAACTTAAATTACTGCTGAGTAATAGAAAGTATTCACTTGAAAATTGGATTTGACAAAAACAATTACAAACTTTGCCATCACGTTGAAAGGAAAACAAATGCCGAAACGTCTATAGACAAACTTATAGACAATGCATCACCGTCGAATAAATTTACGGGGCCTTTTTTGTTTGAATCAAACATTATTCTACGCTTTCTATTTCCCAGGAGTTCATTCACCCTCGATTGTATAATAGGTTAAATCTGCTTCGAAACAATCATGTCCAAAAATACACTTGAAAACATACAAATTATCAGCACATGTGGCCTGCACTATATTCCCCCACATCTTGTTCAGCTTGGGCCAGACATCAAAATGATATGCCTACATTACATTCAGCACAGATCGTGCGAGATCGGAATAAACAGATTGAAACACTCGGGGCACGGATTTCAGCTGAAAACTCGAAAGGCTTGTCTTCTTCAGAAGTTTATTCTCAGGACTGTCATACTGTTGACCTAAATCTTGAAAATGTGACACACTCGTCCCCCCGTGGTGTGTGAGGGAGGTATAGCCAGCTGCTAAATTTATCTGGTGCAGGGTGATCAAGAGTCGATCAACTTGGAGACCAGATTGCGCTTTGCACTCAGACTCGTATTCTGTCTCACATTATTTCCAACTGCCAAGCCCTTCCTGCAATGCTAAGGCCCTAAATGGAGCAAGTCTAGATTTCCCCAGGTCTCTGAATCTCCCAACTCACTGGGTCTCCTTTCGATTTAAAAAGGTTTATTTGTTGCTACAATCAAAATTTTATATAATCAGGAACTAATCAGTGATACTAGCTGACAGTGGTTGTCGATTTGGAGGTATTTCTCATTCTTGACAGTTCCCCAAACCAGAGACCATATATGGTCTCCATATATGGTCTCTGCCCAAACGATGTATATTTCGAGTGAAAGGATTAAATCAACGTAAGTTCCTCGGCCTTGCGTGTGTTTGTGACCGGTACCACAGACTGAACAGGATACGCTTACCTTTAAGCGAATTCCCTGCATCAGCATTGTTTGGTTTATGGATACTTAAAATATGGTACTTGTTGGTCCCTGCCTGGGTACAGCAAGGACTGGTCGGCTCGGAGTCAGTATAATGTGTCTGAGTGGGGTAATCATGCTTAACTGCGGCGTGGTATCCCAGTGAGCTAGCACTATAAAACCAGCTTAAGTCCGGGCTAGTACAAACAGCCACACATACACACACATGCACGTCGTCATATGAGCGAAATGTTCTTAAGTACGACGTTAAACCCCATTTCACCTCACTACCATGGAACCTGTTTTAAGCAGATATGTCTTATGGTTATGAAACAGATTTTGTAGCTTCTGCTTATTAATGAAAGGGCGGTGGGTTAGCCTAGTGGTTAAGGCGTTGGCTCGTCACGCCGAAGACCTGGGTTCGATTCCCCACATGGGTACAATGTGCGAAGCCTATTTCTGGTATCCCCCGCCGTGATATTGCTATTAATGAAATATAGGTGTTACTTATCCGTTGTATGTCCTGCAACATGACCGGTATGCTGTCTCACAGGCCCTCGTGTCTTTGCGAGGATTAAAGATTTTATTAAATATATGCAAAAATTTGAGATGACCCCCGACTCGAAATGTTTACAGTATAATACATTAGGTCATGAGGTATTGTACTGTGAAGCATTTTGAGCCGGGGGTCATCTCAAAACAATATTTTTTAATAATTAATCCTCGTAAAGACACGAGGGCCTGTGTCTCACAGCCCCTGGATCACTGTTGTCCTGTCCCCCCAGCCCCTACTGAAGGCAAAGCAGGTGGCCTACAACTCAGGTGCCGTAATTCGCTGTAAAGAGTTGCGTCACCAAGAAACCTGTAATCGTAGGTTCGAACCCCGGATCATGTTTCTTGGTTTGTCGGCACCATGCACGTGTTAGAGTGAGTGAGTTTAGTTTTACGCCTCTTTTAGCAATATTCCAGCAATATCACGGCGGGGAACACCAGAAATGGGCTTCACACATTGTACCCATGTGGGGAATCGAACCCGGATCTTCGGCGGGACAAGCGAACGCTTTAACCACAAGGCTACCGCAACCGCCCCGCACGTGTTAGAGGGTTTCATCAAAGTGGAAAACGTTTACAAAACCTGCATCACTTCGGGCTTTTCTCCAACAAACCTAATACGCAGTGATGCAACTGGGATACCGTTCAAAACGCCGATAAACCAATCTCAGCCGCCGACCCATCCTTTCTGTAATGATGTAACCGTAAACGAAAGTCTAGAATTTCCACAGGTTCAGAAATTCCAATCTGGAACAATTTGTTATTTGAATGTAGTTGCTTTGTATATTTTCTTGCTTTAATTTTCATGGTTCAGTTTAAAGTGCAAATTTAGGACTTTCCACAAACTATGTATACTCATTCCTGGGCTGATTGATTGAAAAAAGTGGCGATATTCTACACGCGCTTCTCGGAAGGTATCACCCATGCAGAACCGTCGAGTGCTTGTCGTTGTATAATATTACGCCACTACATGATCTAATATTACAAGAATTGAACAACATAAGTGGGTTAATAAGGTAATAGCAGCTGTGTTTAGCGACTCTGACCTTGGTTCATATCTGTGGCAAGAAGTGTCCCAGTGTTAAGTTCCAGAGGAACGCCAGAGCTCCAGTAATGAAAGAGTTGACGTTCCAAGGCAAATTATCAAGGCGAAAGAGGAAAGCATCAGAACCATGTTCCACTAAGCTATTTCAGCGCTATGACTCCCGTACGTCTTTGTCAATGAATGGCTTGTAAAATCATCTTAAAGGCACAATGTCACACCACATTTCTCTAAAAATACATTTCTCTCAATAATACGATCAGCCCTCGGGGAAGCTACCACATAATGTATTCCAAAAACAATTACGTATTTAGATTTCAATATCAAATTAAAAAGTTCAAATGAATTAATGCAAAGTTGCATTAAATCGACTCTAGCGCCCTTAACATTTCAAGCGAACCCCATAGAGTTATGTCTCTTGGAGCGCTCTTTACGAATATACGCACAACTTGTGATTGAAACCAGTTTGATGTACAGAGCAATCGTTTACATTCCATATAATGTCAAGTGTGATCTGTGTGGAAGCTGTTCGCCTCGAAGTTTCAATTATCGATTTTCAGGCTAGTCGTAAGGGATAATAAGCCTTTTATTGCACCAATAGGAAGTTAGTGCATATGCCCCCAATATATATTAAATATAGGCCAAAATACTGTAGAAAATGTGTGACATTGTGCCTTTAACTACATCATGGCTTAGAGAGACTAGGCCCCAGACCTTTGAGCCACCTGGATTTAATATGATGCAACAGCTAATTTTCTGACTGAACTACCACGTGATAACTCGAGCACATGCATGGCGGATGCAGCTGGCCGACACAAATATGCATGTTTAGTTTTCATAGCAATATTTTAAGAACCGTTTCGTTTCGTTTCGTTCAAAGATTCAATATACTTGTGCAATAACGTATGACGGACAGCTGATAGGGATCTCTAAAATATAACTTTCAATAAAGTGTTGAAACTTATCTCCACTAATAGAAGACAAATGTTTTCACTTTTCATGTCGTCGAATGCCAAAATATCACGGCAGTCAAAAATGAAAATTAGCATTACATACCGCTAATGATCCATGTTCAAGTCAGTCACCTCGAGGAATGTCATAAGGCCAAAACAAATTGATTATTTGACATGGGAAAATACATTCGTTCAAACTGTTCAGTGCGGTAAGAATGTGAAATAGTCACAAGTATACCTAATTGCAGAGAGAGGATCGCGCCTTAACACGCATGACCTGGTCAAATATGTAGGCGCCCCTGTTCCGGAAACCGGTTTATGTATATTTCATACAAGTCTGGATCCAGACGGGCTAGTTTGTCAGAGATTCGATGGCATGCTATTGCCCAGTCACCTTGCCTGACCTCCCGATCCAGTTGGTCGCCTTGGATCATCAGAGGTTGCGAGGGACCAACTCTAACCCGGAATCTCAATGCAGGTCGCTAAAGATTGATTGTTGTGTTGAGATCGAGATGTGTCTTTGTGAAACAGGTTTAACTGCAGGCAGGTGGTTGGTTGTTTAACGCCGCACTCAGCAATATTCCCGCCATATGGCGGCGGTCTGTAAATAATCGAGTATGGGCCAGACAATCCAGTGATCAACAGCTTGAGCATCGATCTACGCAATTGGGATACGATGACGTGTGAACGAAGTCAGCGAGTCTGACCGCCTGATCCCCAGTCGCCTCGTACGACAAGCATTGGTTACTGAAGACCAATTCTAACCCGAATCTTCACGGGTCTGCAGGTAGGTGGCCTTAATGTCTCAACCGACCATTTGATATGAGGACCCGGGTTTTTAAGAAAAAAATAACTTTGTTCCAGAAGACAAATCCAAAAATGTTGTCCTGAGGTTTTACCTGAAAATGCTTGATGTCCTGAATAAGTGCGTTTTGAACAAATATTTATCATTTGTTCGGCAGCTAGTTCACAAATAGCGGGTGTTGAAGCGGAGATTGGGAGTGTCTCTAACAAAGAGCTATTAACTATATATTGTGATTCACCAACAATACGCTCGGTTAACCTGTTATACGTGTCTCAAACGTATGATTGCTGACGTCTCGTGCAATACAGAGAGATCAAAAGCCAAGGTTTGTAAACCAGCTCGTTCAATCTAATACCAGACATGTGGAATTATTCAAAACGAAATATAAATTGAAATGCATAAACATGTCCCGAGGGGTGTCTTAGAAGTATGAACGTATGAATGAAATATCTCTTTTCAACTTTTTGTTTTGCTGTATGGCGGAAAGGCAAAAAAGGGCGGAAAGACAGAAAAGGACATTTATAAAAATGTGTATTTTATTCCACACTTTTGATCAGCGGATACATAAACCACGCAAGAAGAGTCGGACATGAAACCTTTGACATCATTCAACAAGTCTAATCGCAGCTGGAACACACACCATAGTCTAACCTAGAGACCGTTGGTTTCCCCAGTGATGTAATCTGTTGGCGGTTCTTTGGGAATATCTACAAAGTTGTACTTCGTTTTCTCCACAGGGTCACTGTCCCCAAGGGTATCTACCCGTCTCCTCCCGTAGACTGACCGACACAGTTCGGCCATTCCATACACAAAGACAATGAAGCCAAGGTAGGAGAACCATAGCGCCCAGATGACCATCTGGGCCACGCCCAGGAACACGCCGAGGGAGATGTTGATGAAGGCGAGGAGGAGCGCGCACCTGCCGCCGAAATGATGGATACATTCCCACACCCGTCGCCGCTGAGTCTTTGTGTCATCGTTGTCGGGGATTTTAAGGGGACGTCTGAAAAACAATATTTATTCGGTCTTTAATTAATAATCATTTGTTACCGAGAAAAGTGGTGAACTGAAGTGGGGCTGGTTGGTTTGGTTGTTGTTTCACGTCTCACTCAGCAATATACCAGCTATATGGCGGCGGTCTGTAAATAATTGAGTCTGGACCAGACAATCCAGTGATTAACAGCATGAGCATCATCTATCTACGCAATTGGGATATGATGACGTGTCAACCAAGTCAGCGAGCCTGACCACCCGATCCCGTTAGTCGCCTCTTTCGACAATCATGGATTACTGAAGACCAGTTCTTAACCTGGATCTTCACGGTTTGTGAACTGATGTAAGATTTTAGCTATATTACAGCTTTCAGGGCGGAGGACATGAAGATTAGGCTTCCAACATTCAATATTATGTTTAAGATGCCATGAGCTTTTCTTACCAGCTTAATTTTGTTTCATAAATAAACATTTTATTTCCTTTCCTTTGTTTTTGCCACTTCCGATTAGCACACAAATACTTACTAGTGTCAATACAATATCTGAAAGAGACTTGTGGGAATTTCACCGTTACAAATAAACAGGAAACCGTGTGTTGCACCATGAAATATTTTTTAAAAACCCCGTTGTAGCAGAATTTATTTGCAAACATAAAATCTCTTTCATACCGGATAGATTTTTGCATAATTTCATGAAATTACTGCCCTTGGCTACGCACATGAGAGCATTGAGAGGTTGCAGAGCTGCCAGGGTGGTAGCGACGAGGCCAATGATCGCATGGGTAAACTTGAAGTGGTCGAACTGTACGGAAAGAATGCTGAACACCAGTCCCGCGACCACACAGCACAAGCCAAATACCTGAAACGTAAAATGAGCGAGTGAGTTTAGTTTCATGCCTCACTCAGCAATACTCCAGCTATATGGCGGCGGTCTGTAAATAAGCCAGTCTGTACCAGCTAATAACCAATTTTGTGGTTCTGATAACTATAACATTATGACATCCGCCGACTGGTAAAACACCCCGACCCCCTCCTCGCTGACTGTATCAGACGTTGAATTTGACGTTAGGGTATTGCGTTCCATTCTTATTGGGGTTGTTTCAATACTTCAAGATTTTGTACTGGGGGATCTCTCTGTGTATTCTGTGGATCTTACTGTCTCTCACAAGCTCTATGGTGGGGTCAAGGTAGAATTGCTACTGCCTATTGACGCAAGGAATTACCAGCCACACGTGCACGTGTTCAGAGTATGGACGTCTGACAGGTCGTTTCTCTCGACTGCTGACGCATGTGTTTGATCTCACACAAGCAACAGTGGAACAGTTTTGGATGATAAAAACACATTATATTTATTACCCAAATCCACAGGATATACAGACCTACGTAACTTTCTTGTAATATATAACGATATATACGGTTATACAACATTTCAGGAAAGTAAAAAGGTCGTCAAAAGTGACTGAAGCGGGCGTAAAAGTTCTTTAAACCCAAAGACTGTCGATTCTGGGAGATTTAGTAAGATAACCTGTGTCAGTCCATGGAAACATGATCCTTTGATCTTGGGTTCGAATCATACCAGACTGATTATTGATTGTCAACAAAAAACATTTCGCGGTAACTCAAATACATCAATGCAGACTGATAGTTTTCCTTCGGAAGTGTAACAAATATTCCTGTATGTATAATGATGTATTGATATTTTGATATTTCACTTCCATTACCAACTTCTGTGATAAACGCTAACCTGAAAGAATACGTGCACGTAAAACCAGAGCCCGCTCTTGAACTTCATATATCGTGCAACAAACGCTCCCCACTGTAGGAACACACCCCAGCCAATCACCATCAAGACCCCATGGATGGTTATCAAATTGACGAAGTTTATCGAACAGGCCACTTCCTCGGAGTGGTCAGCATCTCGCGCGTTTCCGCGAAGAAACCAGAGGTCGCTGAGAAGAGCGTTCCTGGAAGCAAACAAAAAGGTACATTCACAAAATGGTTAGGTAAAATATACAGATAACGTTACCATCTATCAGTACTGTTCATTTTCTTATTTCCATGACAACGCTTACATCCTGTGGAAATGGCATTTAATAAACGCAACGGTAAATATAAGCTTAACGGTATTTTGTTCGGCCTTGAAATCTAAATGTGAGTATTGCAGTCCAATGCTTGATACAAATTATTAATTGTTATTCAACTGAAGTCAAGGCGTCACGGTCGGTGTAGTGAGCTCACATTGTTGGCCTGTTATTATATACTACTCACACTTTGCTAAGGATCACAAAAATTCACGACTTTATTTAAACGTAGATTTACGATTTGAAACTGTATCCATTTAACTGGATAAATAATAATATGGTAACACCTCTCGGCAAACAGCCACTATAATCTAACCTTATGCACTTGATACATGAGTAACCATAAAAATGGTTTTCATGGCACCAATCAACCATTTTGCAAATCATGGAAGGAGTCATTGACAAGTACACAACACCTGTCAATAGCAGGTATGGGATCCACAAGATGCAATGACATACTGAAACCTAGGATCCATGCTTACACTAAGAGAAGAAGAGAGATCCCTGAACCTGGGGAAATCTTGACTCACTTCAAGGCTTCAGATGGGAAAACAATGATGCTCAGGGACTGAGAGACAGGCTACCAGTTGAGCAAGGGTCAAAAGGTGTCTCTGGGCAATATGATATGTAGTTATTCAGGTTACCCAGTCTCATTAAACCAGATCCTATTCTCCGATGCGATACCTTGCGTTAAGATCTGGACAACACCTCAAAAGGAGGTCACGTCACGTCACTGACCCTTTCATCCTGCTGTCAGTAAGTTTATGTCTTCACCATGTACATGCTCTTTCTCTCAACGGTAAAATACATATGTATGACTAGATAACCTTAATCATACTGGAACTTAAAATGCCATTCCACATATAATGTCTATTATGTTATAAGTTCTACTCATTACTATGTCAAGTATATCTGTGTATGGCACTGGGCATCTGGCCATTAAACCCATGAAATCAGAGCGAACCTTAACAACCACATCTAAAACTTCAACAACGTTTCGTTTCGTTTCGTTTCTGCACCATCTTGATTTCAAAATTTTAATAGATTTCACTGTGCTGAAACACACACGATAGGATGCCATAAACATAAACAACACAAACATATAAGCGCAGCTTTAGCGTACTGAGCATATGGAACACTTCGATATTCGTCGTAGAAATGGAAACCGAAATCAGATGAGCTTGTTGGGATGCTTCGCTAACGCGTGAAGACAATCTTAAAGCCTCAACCACGCACATAATGAAATTCATCTGCACTGACCTCAAACATTGGTACCGTCATGTCTTAGCGCTGAATTGTATGGTATCGGAGTGGAAGATCTGATTTCAGTTGTCGGTATATGATACACTTACATGTTTATGTCCACTCCCCCGAACATAAAGATCCCAGATCTGCCTGTCACCATCCCAGTTGAAGCTCTTCTGCCTGGTGTAGAGATGACCTCGTCCTGAGTGAGAGTCAGCCATGACAAGAATGAGTGAGTTGGGTTTTAGCAATATTCCTGCAATATCACGGCTGGGAACACCAGAAATGGGCTTCACACATTGTACCCGTGTAGGGAATCGAACCCGGGCCTTCGGTGTGACGAGCGAACGCTTTAACCATTCGGCTACCCCACCGCACCCCATGAAAAGCCACACAGTATATGACACAAGTGGATCAAAGTGGACAGTTTATGACAAGACAGTATATACAGTAAATATTACACTTATGTTTACAGGAATAGTCTACATATTTCACACTTCTACTTAAGTTTGCATTATTATGAACAAGCACATTAAGCATTCACATCTTTCCGAAATTGAAACTCAAATGTTAACTTCTATACTATTAGTGAACAAACATCCTGGATTTGTTTTAAGTATTGTCTGGTTCAGACTCCATTTACAAAGCGCCGTCAATTAGCTGGAATATTGCTGAATGCGGCATTAAACAATGGACATTACATACATACACAATATTAAGGTGGCAGTATTCGATAAAGCCAAGTGTGTATAAAATACTTATCAAATACTCAACATTTTACATGATTACTGTGAATCAAATAGCTATGGTTATAAAGTCATTTCACTGCTTGTTTCGAAGCCCAATTAACAGGTAACTTTTTTGAGTGTCATTTTAGAAGTTAAGAAGTACAATATAGACAAACTTTATGGATTACAACCTCTTTATTTTGTGAGAGCGACGATATGATAGTTTAGACAACGGTACAAGAATATGTATCGAAACGTCGCTCTCACGAAATGAAGTTGTAATCAATAAAGTTTACACCAATTACCAGGTTAGACGGAGGTCGCGCCACACTGGATGAGTATACCATTGGGACAGTACGGAGAAACTTGTACACGTGATCTTTTAAATGTTTTCCTAAGGGTCCGGTCATCTATTATTGATGGTGGGTGAGTGAGTGAGTTTAGTTTTACGCCGCACTCAGCAATATTCCAGCTATATGGTGGCGGTCTGTAAATAATCGAGTCTGGACCAGACAACCCAGGGATCAACAGCATGAACATAGATCTACGCAATTGGAATACGATGACATGTGTCAACCCAGTCAGCGATCCTGACCACCCGATCCCGTTAATCGCCTCTTACGACAAGCATGGGTTACTGAAGATCAATTCTAACCCGGATCTTCACGGGTTGGCGGGGTCAGGGGAGGGTCACCGGTACATACGATAGTTTAGCCAGATATTCGGGAAGAGGCATTAGAAATTGACTATTTGTCGTAAATGTACAGTGGTTTTTCATCTTTTTATGAGTAAGTAATGTAATAAATGTACAAAGATATGGCGAGGTTCGATTTCTAAGATTCGAGTTCACATTGTCGCGTTATGAACTTCAGCCATGTTACTTACTACAGCAGTTGTCTTCCTCTGAGACCATTTACCCGTCTCGGGCGACAGAACAGCCACGACATCTTTACCGCTTGGGTTTGTCTGTTGAAATATTTCAAGTTTAATCATGAATTGAAATACAATCCTTTCGATACATGCAGGTAGTGCAAATATTGTCGTCTATGCCAACACTATAACATCAGGATCACTCATACATACAGTAGAAAGTCTTCAGAGTGAGTGAGTTAGTGAGTGAGTAGGGTTTTACGCCGCTTTTAGCAATATTCCAGCAATATCACGGCGGGGGACACCAGAAATGGGCTTCACACATTGTACCCATGTGGGGAATCGAACCCGGGTCTTCGGCGTGACGAGGGAACGCTGTAACCACTGAGCTACCTCACATCCCCAGAAAGTCTTCAGACTATGTGATAGAGAAATTATTTCAATCCTGAATTTGAAAAAAAGACGCTTGAATGTTTGACAAAGACGCACGTACAATGAGAACCTGTTCTCCCTCTTCAAAACCGCCGTACAGGACAACCCTCCGTCTCCCATAGGTGGAGGGAAGCTCAGCCATGCTGGCGTAGGTCCTGCAGCAATTAGTCAATGATGTCAAGGAGTTTACAAAAGGAAAATACGAAAAGAAACCCAAGCAATACCGTTGGCATGTATACTGAAAGGCAAAGGAAACGTCGTATGTTGATGGGGTAGTAACTGGTTGAATGGATCACTCTATGGTTATAGGAAAATGAAAAGATAACAGAAGTTATTTTTGACAAACATTTGTTTATTAAGGCCTTTGGTGTTGTTTGTCACATCCTATTCACCGATGACGTCACTGGAAGGAACCAAAATCAATATCGGGTGTGACCACCGTTTGTATTCACAACTGCAGCACACCTCCTGACCATAGAGTGCACGAGGCGATTCACATAGGCCATAGGAATCCGAGCCCACACCCTCAGGAACGCTGTGCGTAGTTGGTCCGCAGTTGTTGGCCTTGGTCTAATGTCATTGAGGCATCTTTGGATCTCATCCCACAAATGCTCTATTGGGTTGAGGTCTGGGCTCAGGGCTGGCCAAGGCATGGTTTCCACATTATGCTGCTGCAGAAATGCTCTAGTGAGTCTGGCGGTATGTGCACGCGCATTGTCCTGCTGGAAAACATGACGCCGATGACGTACAAAAAAAACGGCACAACATGGGGTCGTAGGACTTGGTCGATGTACCGTGCAGCTGTCACACCATTCCCTCTTCCTGGACCGAGATTCTGGTGGATAACCGGACCGATTTTCTGGTTAAGTCCGATTCCATCCCAAACCATAATGCTCTGGCCACCCCAAGCGTTTCTCTCCATCACACACTCATCATTGAAGCGTTCACCTCTGCGACGCCAGACCCTAGTCCTCCCATCAGCCGTTAGCACTGGACCCAGGGTAGGACGTCTACAGCACAGGTTGCGGGCTTGAAGGCGTCGCCGAACGGTGCGGTCACTGATTGCTCTTTGGTGGGTGCCAATGGTGTTTCGAGCTGTCTCTGTTGCCATGTTGAACCGGTCTTGCAAGTGGTGACGGACGATCTGTCTGTCCTGGCGACGGGTGGTTACCAGGGGACGACCACTACGTGGACGGTCATCTGTGCTGTTGGTGGTGTTGAACCGTTGACGGAGACGTTCAATTGTTCTTACAGAACAATTGAAGTCATTGGCGATGACAGTAGCACGTTGACCTGCGTGGAGACGTCCGATGACCTGTTGTCGTTGATCCCTTGTTAACCTCGGCATAGCTGCTGTAGTCAGGAAACGACTAAAGGATCGGTAGTCAAGCTGGGAATTAATACCCTGTATGCGCACGAGATGCACGTGCAGTGTGCTTTCAATGTTGCGTTTGGTTGAGCTGTTCCTTGTCCAAAAACAGTGAAACTTTTTTGAAACCATCCAAAAAGTTGGTGTGTTGTACAAACTTATCATCTAGTGTTCGAATCATGTTTTTTAAATGTTGTTTTCAGTCATCAAGTGACAACTAGTTAATCAAAATACATCATTGATACCAAATCAATAATCTGAAAAATACGACGTTTCTTTTTTCCTTTCAGTATATTTAGAAACATTTATTTGGTGGATTTAACTTGTGCAAGTAAACGTCTGTGAGTGAGTCGGGTTAACGGCGCTCAGAACAGTATTCCAGTTACACCACTGTCAGCCTAATGCCTCAAATGTTTACCCACTTTAGTGACACAGGGGCCAAACCGGGTCAAAACGCACTCGATATTCCAGCTATATGACAGCGGTTTGTAAGTGGTCGAGTAAACTCTCTGATCAAGGGCAAGAGCATCGTATTACACAATTGGGATACGATGACATGTTTCAACAAGTCAGCCAGCCTGATCACCCGATCCTGTCGACTCTTACAAGCAAGGGATGGTGTGGATTGGGACCCAAGATCAAAACTCCTGGCCTGCCAAAAAGAACCCATCACTTCCCAGCGCAGTACGTGCCTAAGACGACCGAGCCACCTGTGCCCCTACATTCAACAACCGGAAGTGAGCATGGTATTTACCTTGGGGTTGCGCAGTTGTCGAGTTTCCGCCATGTTTTCAGCCTGTTGTCAAAGAGCCAGGAATCCCCACTTGGACAAGGCCCTCCACTTCCGCCACCACTGTTAACATATGGAACAGAACAAACAAGTGTATACATACATGTATACACATGCATCACAGCCACTGTTCCTGGTTGCAGACAGTTGCACTCATGTATACTTGCACTTGTTCACCAAAGTGTAACAATCTTAAATGCGGTACAAGTAGATGTTACAAGGACAAGGTTCCCTGGTGTCACTACATGAGATCATTTCTTCTTTTGTCTTTTCAGTCTTCTTAGTGTGTTTGTTGAGCCGCCTATTCAAGATGTGCTATAGCTGTCTGTAAACTGATCACACTCAGTGGTTGACATCCTCCTCCACACCGTCTGGGTACGTTGATCATCCAGGCAGCCTGACAATCTGATTCATGAGTTTGCCACCTTGACAACTGCAGTAGCTCATGACAATGAGTGGGTGAGTGAGTATGGTTTTACTCCGCATTTTGCCAAATTCCACCAATATCACGGCAGGGTACACCAGAAATGGGCTTGACACATTATACCCATATGGGGAATCAAACCCGTGTCATTGGATTTACGAGCGAACGCTTTAACAACGTTGCTACCCCACCGCCAGGGGTGGAAATAACTTTAAAATTGATAGTGTACTCCGGTACAGTGGCACATGTAATGTCACTTGCCCTGATAATTTTTCCAATATACGGACCGTTTTCCTGCTGATTTTTTAAATAAACAACTTAATTAACATTGGAAAGTCAACTGGACATCGGTACAGTGTGATATACGAATTTGCTTGCCCGACAGAAAAAAACACTGGACTCGGAAGTCGGGCAATGGGTTATTTCCACCCCTGGGACCGCCCTCAGTATATGATGTCAAGGTATTATTTATTAGTGATAAAGTTTCGAGTCTTCGACAATTGCTGATTTACTACAGACAGTAGAGGAACTATTATCAATTGAATGCAACAAGAAAACTGACCTGAGACAGCCCCCAAATATGACCAGTTCGTCGTTGCTGATGGTGGTGCTGGCATGGAGACATCGAGCGTGGGGGTAACGGGGGTCGTAGGGGTGACACGAGGCACAGTGCTCTGTGGAAAATCAGCGCCAAACTCTTTGATCTGATGTAGAGGGCAAAGGTATTTCGCACCAGTTACAAACACTGTATAGAGTGAGTGATTATGGTTTTACGCCACTTTTTTTGGACAATATTTCTGTGGAGAACGGAAATTTGACCCGTGACGAGTTCAACGCGAGTTCAAGGTGAGTCAACTGTGAAATGTCGACAAATGTTAACTGTGTATTTTTCGCAAAGTATCATTCTTGTCAACGTTCTGAAATAGGTGTCGCCTATCAATTTTATCGATAAAAAAGGGCTTAATACAGAAATATGCCTCAGACCAAATGTTGGCAAAGAGTGTGTGAGTGAGTTTAGTTTTGCGCCGCACTCGAAAATATTCCAACTACATGGTGGCGGTCTGTAAATAATCGAGTCTGGACCAGACAACCTAGTCTGTCTCACAGTCCCTGAACCACATTATTTTCCCTACTGCCAAGCCCTCTCTGCAGTGCTAAAGCCCTAAATAAAGCAAGTCTAGATTTCCTCAGGTTCAGGTTCTGAATCTCTGGTCTCCCTGGGGCTCCTTTTCAATTTATATGGGCTTGTTTGTTACTATCAAAATTATATATATTCAGAGACTAAAGCATTAGTCTACAGACAACCCAGTGATCATCAGCATGAGCATCGATCTACGTAATTGGGATACGGTGACATGTGTCAACCAAGTCAGCAAGCCTGACCACCCGATCCTGTTAGTCGCCTCTACGACAAGCATGGTTTGCTGAAGAACAACTCCAATCCAACTACCCAATAAGCCTGGGTAGGATCAACACCTGGGAAGAGAAAACATATTTCAACGCTGTTAGATGTCACGCTACACTCACCCCTCTGCCAACCGAGAGCGTTGACGTCATAGGTAAAAGTATCGAAGTATCGAACGTTGGAAAACCCCTGAGACACATACATCCTGCCTCCCCCGGGGAATATCCCACCCCCGGAGCCGTATCGTGCCTCCGGTCGGAATGACGTCTTCGACAACGTTGCCCAGTCGTGGCCGCTGTGCACAAGAAAGGAATGTTAAAAAGGAGCGTTTGTTTCTAAATTCAGAAGCCCCACAGAGTGACAGACTCTCCAAGTACTGATCAAAGGAAAACAAAAACTGACATCTTGTCTGAGTCTTACAGTAACGATGGACACATTTTGTATATTAGTATGAAATAGTGAGAATTCCAGCAATATCTGGAACCACAATAAAGATCTCGAGGCAAGATTGTCCACGAGCGGAAACTAAGCCAGTAGATGCGTGTGAAGACTCGAACCCAAGCCTTCGGTTTGCTGAGCGAACACTTCAACCAATTCACTACCACCTTTTAAACCTATATATGGTGACGTTATACATTTGCTTGTTATGCACAAATCATTTGTTTCATGACGTCACTTGGTAAAAGTTGGAGTCTATGATCTTGATCTTTACATATCAAAACGTAACAAACTGAAGTTGAAAAATATTCAGCTCGTATTTGTTTTTTACCTTATGTAGGGCGGACGTTTCTGAGCTGGAAGCTCCTCCCATTCTTCACGTCTGTCAACAGAGTAGATGGGGATATAGTGATGTGACTTAGCTGCGTTATGTCAGAGGTAAGGACAACGTGAATCTGAGGCCGGGACCGACGAAGAGCGGATCCTGGTTCAAGTATGGCTGATAACAAAGGGACACGACAAGACATATGTTCAGGAGACTAACGGGGCCATTCTGATGGATAATAAATAACATTGTATAAAACCGCTGTGATGACTACCCAATGACTTTGTGAGAAATTTAGATCAAACGCCATATTCAACAATACTCCAGTTATGTTGCGCCATGTTAGCTTAATGAGGAATTAAAGCCTACAGTGGCGCCCGTTGGATTGAGCATTATAACCGTTAACGGCATTGCTGAAACACCTACACGATTGAGAAGCCAAGAATCATAGTGAGTGAGCGAGTTTAGTTTTACGCCGCTTTCAGCAACACCAGAAATGGCTTCACACATTGCACTCATGTGGGGAATCGAACCCGGGCCTTCGGTTTGACGAACGAACGCTTTAACCACGAGGCTACCCCACCGCCCCCATGGTGAGTGAATATGTGTCCCGCAGCTGTAAGCAATATTCCAGCAAGATCACGGGGTGAGGACTTGAGAAATGGGCTTCACACATGTATCCATGTTGGGAATCGAATCCGGGCTTTCGCCGAGAAGAGTGAACGCTTTAACCTTTAACCCCAGGCTACCTTTCCGCCCCTAGGGATAATAACCAGTAGGATGTTGGAAAACGATTCAGTTGCGATCATGGTTTGTTTCCAAAATGTTTTTCATTTCAAATAATGAAATATTCACTAAATATTTAACTTCACAGGGGGCAACCAACAAATATAGTTAGAGAGACTCGTGCAATGACAGTGTAGTTCATTAACTTACATCATGTGGAAACGCCAGATGTCGTTATAAAACGTGTTGTTTCTGCCTTCCCCCGTCGTCACGTAGAAGTAGTCTCCGCTGACGCCACCCACGACTGTGTAACGCTGAGCTGGGCGAACACTTGCAACAACCTCACGCCATTTCCCTGACAACACATCATGAATCGTCGCAGAGACAAGCATGGTAAAGATAGTGTGAGTGTGGTTTTACGCCGCTCTCAGCACTATCTCGGCGGGGAGACACTAGAAAAGGGCTTCACACATTGTACCCATGAGGGGGATCGAACCCGTAAGAATCAAACGTTTTCCCCACTAGGCTACCCCAAATCCCCCAAAGGACAGTATTTGAACAGTCAGCTTTATGTGGTACTTAAGCCCGAAGTGGTGCTGGTTGCCGTTGTACATAACAATCTTTACAAAGGTTGAACTAAGTGACTAAGGTTAACCTTGAGGTAACCTTAACAGAACGTTATGCCCGTTGTACAAAGCTACCTTTGGTCATCCTTAACTCTAGAAAGATACTTAGCCCCAACCTTAACTAAGGTCGAGACTCGAGCATGTCCGTAGTTGTGAGTTATCTCCCCGCCCGAATCAAAAACAATTGATTGTTTGATCGTATCTTAATGTTGACAAATACGTGCACCTGTTTAGGCATCAAATTAACGTAAATGAAAAAGAATAATTCAAAACACACGAAAATATGATTTACGATACGACTTGCCTACCTGCGCCTCCCTGGTGCTCAATGCCATATCCATTTGCAATATTTTTTCAAAACACGATAAACAGTGGACAAAGGGATGCCTGTTCTACTTGAAATCACTTTAGCTGATCTGATGTCCTTGTTATAATACTCTAAAATCAACTTCCTCTTCTCTAAATCATCCATACTGAGGATCACTGAAACTGTCGTCTGCTAGCAAGTAAACAAAGGGGGATAACTCTTCACAACTAATGAAACAGGATTAACGGAGTTGTCTCTCTTGAATGAAACTAAACACTTGATAGCTGGTCAAGGTTGTTTATACTAGAAATCCAATTAAACATATTCCTAAAATCCTCAATAGTTTCTGGTCATACTATAAGTCTATGGAAATGACATCAAGTGTCCGAATACTTTTTGTACGACTCTGTATGCATCAGAGTATCACTGTGAAATAACACTTGACCTAAATATTTGATTTCTCCCTGGGAACAAACCAAGTAACTTTGTCTGTATAGATTTTTGGACAACCTGTGTTCGAACAAAAGTCCTACACAACCTTACCTATGATCCAAGACAGTATCTACGTTTCCTTCGACTACTTGGCGACTAAGTCGCCCTAAACCCAGGCCCATATTGTCCGAATTACCCCTGCTTGATATGTACTAAAGCTGTGAAATGGGGACAAAGGGGTCGTGCATGTGATAACTGACAAGTGGTTCTATGTATCCTGCATGTCGATGTCATCTGGGCAATACAGCCTGCCAGCAAACAAATCAACAGTTTGGTTCTGCACTAATTATGTTGTTCCCAACCATTCCATCTTATTTACCTTATTTATCACCCACTACACATGACTTATCCATTGGTGACCCCCTTGAAACATCCTCCCCAACTACTAGCTGTACGAGAAGCGATAAAATGCCACCGAGACATTACCATCATCACAACCTAAGATCTCCAGTCATGAACTTCCAGAGCATTAAGAATAAAGCGCTGGAGGTATAAACACTTACTTAACTGTAATCCAGACATTGGTACAGAAACATGGCTACACAATGGCGTCCAATCATCGGAGGTCATCCCCAAGGATTATACCACCTGTAGGAATGACTTTTGTACAGACCTCCAATTATGTCAGACTATCAGCACGCCTTAACCACAGCAAAGGAAATCAGTGACTTGGAACAAATCACCCCCATAGTATTTTCTGGATAGGGGGTGACTGGAACCTTCCTGATATCGACTGACCCTTGCTCACAGTGACAGGGAATCAGTATCCCAAGGACATGAGTGAGTGAGTGAGTTTATTTTTACGCCGCTTTTAGCAATATTCCAGCAATATCACGGCGGAGGACACCAGAAATGGGCTTCACACATTGTACCCATGTGGGGAATCGAACCCGGGTTAATCAGTTTATAACAAGAATGGAAGAAACCGGTTGAAGAGGTATAGTTTTAAGAGCTGACTCTCCGGATATTGTTGGCCTCATGTATGCAGATGACGTTTCAGCTGTTTCAGATTCTGCCAATCAGTTACAGAAAAACAATACATATAGTTGAAGAATTATGTGATGCCACAGGAATGAAGTTAAACCTCAACAAGACTAAAATCATTGTTTTCAGGAAAGGAGGCCCTCTCAGAAACAATGAAAAGTGGTATTTCAAAGGTCAACAAATCAAAACTGTAAATGTTATAAATATCTTGGAACATTCTTCACCCAAAATTATCATGGACAATTATCATGCCAAGCAGCACAAGCCACCAATGCTCTATTTTCACTCCACAGATTTCAGCAAACTTTAATTGGTTTAAAGGAAATGTTTAGAATATTTGATAGTATGATAACTCCTATATTATGCAATGGTGCAGAAATATAGGGAACTAATTATTGCAAATAAATTGAACAGTTTCAACTCAAATTCTGCAGAAAACATCTGAGGCTTAACTAGAACACAAATAACACCATGGTTCTGGGTAAGATGCAGAACCCCACTGCAGTATTACTACCTGTGTAGAGCAGTCAGCTACTGGTGCAGGCTTATTCATATAGAGAGTAACAGACACCCACAGCAAGTATATTTCATGCTCAAGTCATTGGATGATGGTGTGAAGATGACATCAGGGCTCTACTCTTTCAATATGGATTCGGCTTTGTGTGGATAAACCAAGAGATTGGGGCTACAAAAACATTTAACAAAGATTACAAGACTGTGACTCAGAACTGGCTATCTCTTTCAGAATCTTCCAAATGCAACTACGGAGTATTACTCTCAATACAAGAATACAAGTCACTACTAAATGTTTAAAAATATCTGCTTTACCTGAAATACCATTATACTATAAAATAGCCATTGCAAGATTTAAAATGCAACAGCTTCAGACTAGCCAAAGAAAGTTGACGACACTCCAATACCCCACGTGAAGAAAGACTGCACCGATTGTTACTCTAATAATATATCTCTCACTGAGGATAAATAAATATCTTAAAAATTGAATAAATTCTGTCTGTCTATACCTAGACCAAATATCCACTTGTGGACTTGGGCAGATGACATCCTCGCCAACACGTGGTGAGAATATTCTTGAGGTCTTCTTTACTAGTAACCCATAAGTTGTAACAAAATGACGGACTGTCCCCGGTGTAGGGGATTCCATTGTTGACTCCAACGTCCTAGCGGAACGACTCAAGCCTACACGCCGTACCATCTACTTATAGAAAAACGCCAACATTGCACGACTTCATGACGACATCACAGCCTACGGTACGAGATTCTTGGTCACCTCTTTCTCTGATTCAGTGCCATGTGGGAAGATTTCCGTACCAGCCTCCTGAAGATACAGTCAGATAAGGTTCCCCACAAGTTGACACGTTCCAGGCGTAGCCGCCCCGAAAGACGCCAGAGGACTGTTGACAAGTGATGCTGCTGGTAAAGCCGAGATTCTCAACTCTCAATTCAGCTCTGTATACACCAGAGAAGATCTTACATGTCTACCTGGTTACCTCACGAATCACACCCAGAGATGCCCGGAATTGTTATCTGTCCTTAAGGTGTCCTAAAACTGCTCAGAGGATTAAACACTTACATGACTTCTGATCCCGATTCAGTTTCGCCAAGGCTACTGAAAGAAGTAGCTGTAATCATTGCCACCGCGTTAGCACGCATCTATCAACTTTCTTTGGATTCATGCTCGGTCCTGTCGGACTGGAAGTCAGCAAATATTGCACCAGTCTTCAAGAAGAGGGATAAACCAGCAGCTGTTAACTACAGACCAGTATCACTTACTGCTATATGTCCCAAGTTTGCAGAGCACATTCTCTACAGACCACTTAGACAATCATCACATCTTATCTGACACACAGCATGGTTTCAGGAACCGCCGTTCTTGCGAAACCCAGTTAGTCCAGACCATTCATCAGTTCGTTCAGAGCCTCGACCAGGGGAAGCAGTTAGACATGGTACTGCTAGATTTCTCAAAAGCCTTCGATAAAGTCCCGCACCAACATCTCCTACTCAAGCTACCCCATTACGGTATCCGTGGCAAACATATTGCGATGAAGACTTCTTGAAGAACAGGAAACAAACATAAATTCTTTGAGAGGCATTTTAGAAGTTGTATAGGTGAAGGAAAACCAAGTTCTGTAGATAGTCAACTTTTTTAGTGCAATGAGTGCGACGTTTCGGTGTAGGTAACAACGTTACTTGATAACGGTGTTAGTACCTACACCGAAACGTCGCACTCATTGCACTAAAAAAGTTGACTATCCATAGAACTTGGTTTTCCTTCATGAAACAAACAGTTGTTCTTGATGGGAAAACATCCTCTGAAGCCGACTAGTACCTGGTGCACCACATGGCACGGTTATTGGTCCACTTCTTTTTCTTATTTATATCAACGATCTACCAAATGATGTTGGCTCTGAGGTACGGCTCTTTGCGGTTGACTGCATCATTTTCAGACGTGCACAATACACCAGACAGTCTCAAACTGAAGGACTTGGATAACCTACAGAAATGGGAAAGTACACGGCAAATGTACTTTAATCCATCAAAATGTATAACTGTGCACATTTCCAAGAAGGCGAAAACGCTCCGCCACTCCTACAATCTTCACGGTTTGGACCTAGATACCGCCGACACCGCCAAGCACCTGGGATCAAAATCTTTATGGAAAAATTATGGAAAAACTTCTATATTACGAGAGTGCAATGTTTCGAAACAGATTCTTGTACCGTTGTAAAGCAGGAATGTAACATGCAGTGGTGGCAAAGTATATATACTGACTGTATCAAGAACACAAGATAATTAACACAATTGGCTGGGCATTGAGGTCATAAAGCCAGTGGGTTGACAATGGTGGCGAAGCCATGGATGTACAAATGAAAGGGGTGGTTTAACAAGATGGTTATAAGTTGATTTGGCATGGTGGAGGAGTGCATCATAAGCGGATGCAATGAAATATCCTTCATCTCGATTGACGGTGGGCTTTTGGCGTTTGATATGAATGGTTTCAGTGAGTTTGCGTTTGGTGAAGTCCTTTTGGTTGTTGGCAAGAATGGTGATGTCAGTCCAGTTTTTATGGTGCTTAGGGTTAGATTGGTTGTGATCAGAGATGGCTGATTTACTGTCGGACGTGGTGACGGAGGTCTGGTGTTCTTTCACTCGGGTGTTGGTGGGTCGGGATGTTTTTATTTGGTAAATCACACATTTTTGTTGTCGATAGTTGGGTTTTTTCCGTCAGTTTGCATTGAGAAGGTTGTTGAGACTGGAAAATGGAGAGAAGGTGGTATCGATGCCTGCTTGGTGTTTTATCAGTCTGTTGATTTGATATCCATATGTGGCTTCCCCACATCAACGTTTACCAAAAGGTGTGGTGGTGATGGAATTGGGTTTAACGTCGTGCTTGAGAATATTTCGCTCACATGACGACGTGCATGCGTGTGTATGTGTATGTGCGGCTGCTTGTACTAGCCCAGACTTAAGCTGGTTTTATAGTGCTAGCCCACTGAGATACCATGCCGCAGTGAAGCATGAATACCCAACTCAGACACATTATACTGACTCCAAGCCGACCAGTCCTTGTTGTACCCATTAATGCCGAGCGCCAGGCAGGGACCAACAAGTACCATATTTTAACGTCTTTTGGTATGACGCGGTCGGGGATCGAACCCGCGACCTTCCGCACTCTGGGCGGACGCTCTAACCACTACACCACGGAGGCGGTACCAAAAGGTGTAACCTCCCAAGGAAAAAATACTACCCTGTGTCCTCCTTTCCATATGGGTAATGATTAGACAGTAACTAACGAGTGACGGGGAATGACAGATTATCTTTCCCCTGGTAATATTAACTATGTAATTCTCTTGCCAAGGTTCGAGAAATATGCAATTAATATAACTCGGGAAAGATAATCTCTCATTCCCGTCACTCGTTAGTTGTTGTCTAAATCAACCTCAGGTACACGTTTGAAAACAAACTACAATCCTTCGAAGCACTGACACTTCGGCCACAACTTAGTTTTTAACTAAGACCACCATAGTTCAAGGTAGATTCGTGCAACTGGACGTCAACCTTAGCAAAAGACTCAGGCTAAAACTGAAGGAGATAAGGTAATCTTAGCGCAAGGTTGTTTTGTACAAGGCACCCAGAGGTGCATAGGTGAAACAATTGCAGACACATGGTGTATGGTGTTGACAATTGCAGACACATAATTGGGGCGAAGGGAGATTCGAACACAAATATTTCTGGCGTAATAATTACACAGCCTTAGACAGCCGGGCTACCAGTACACGTCCAGTCTAGATATCGTACGTCTTGTTACGCTGTTAATCGTAGGCAGATCTTAATATTGCATAAATATATGGCTTGTACTAGGATATGGCTGAACTAAATGTCGACTCTTCAACCTTCTACGGGTGGTGGTGGGGTAGCCTAGTGGTTAAAGCTTCCGTTCGTCACGCCGAAGACCCGGATTCAATTCCCCACATGGGTAGAATGTGTGGAGCCCATTTCTGGTCCCACCGTGATATTGCTGGAATATTGCTAAAAGCGGCGTAAAACTAAATTCACTCAACCTTGACTCAACGAGTTCGCCTATGTCCAAACAGCCGTTTACACCTTGCTTGCAGAAAATACAATACAGTATTGACAGTAGCGCCCAGATGAACACTACCATGCCAGCTGTTCATTTCCCGATGAAGGTCAGTATGTGGCGTGATTCCTTGTCAGTTAGAGCTGACAGTCTATCACGCATCATGGAATCTGCTCACCTGACGAACGTGAAATATACTATTCACACTTTGCTAAGGATCAAATCATTGATTCAACAGAAAACTATTATGTGGGGTCAAATTTGGTTTAAATATCTAAACCCATTGTAAGCATGGATCCAAGTTTTCAGTATGTCACTGCGTCTTGTGGATCCCATACTTGCTATATGGACAGGTGTTGTATACTTGTCAATGACCCGTGCCATGATTTGCAAAATGGTTGATTGGTGCCATGAAAACCATTGTATGGTTACTCATGTATCACATGCATACAGTTAGTTTAAAGTGGCTGTTTTCCTAAAGATGTGTTACCATATCGTTATTTATCCAGTTTCAAATGGATACAATTTCAAATTATAAATCTAAGTTTAAGTAAAGTTGTAAATTTTTGTGATCCTCATAGCAACGTGCAGTAGTATACGACTACAGTCCTTCAGTACAACACAGTATCGATGGAAAGTGTAATTATAATTACAAACGGGATGGGTATAATGAGTATAATGAATATGTGTTATGTGTAGAGCATTTGTCCGTTAAGACAAATACGAACCACGTAGTAACCAATCAACCGTCTCTAGATGTTAACATAATACGCTAACATACTGATGATATGTACAGTCTGTAAAACGACTATTCATTTCAAGCTTTTTGTACATGCCACTGGATAAAGTGTGTGAGTGAGTGAGTTTAGCAATATTACATATATATCAGAGCGGGGACACCAGAAATCAGCTTCACATTGTACCCAGGTGGGGAATCAAACCGGGTCTTCGGCGTGATAAATTGATTTCCCTTATGAAATCTGACTATCGTCCTTTGGTACAGAAACTGTCACGTTTAACAAAAACTGTATTATCCCTGTTTTAGTTATACATTTATGTAATATCCATATGCATATAATCCATTATGGCACTTTGTATTTATCAAAATGTATGTTCTCAATATCATTCTGCATGATTTATGAGAATAAGAAATGCTAAATCCTGTGACGGGGGAATGCTTTTATCACTACTTTAGGTTATCCTACCGCCCCTGAATAAAGGAACAGTATTAGTCGATAATACATGCTTACTGGGACAGAAAGAACTACACACGTCATGCTTCTAAATATTTATTACACCTGTGAAGATCCGGTTTAGGGTTGCTCTTCAGCAATCCATGCTTATGATAAGAGGCGACTAATATAAGGGGATCGGGTGGTCAGACTCGCCGACTTGATCAATGCATGTATCCCATGATGTCACAGGGTTTTACAGTCTTTTAAAAATGGGAGTCATGGTGACTCACAATATTTATTTTTGGGAGTCATTTTCAATATTTGGGAGTCATGAAAATTTAATATTTCTTTGTGTTAATCATTCTCAGTATGTAACACCACCAAATGAAACTACAGCATTGTTCAATTCAAACAGCCAGGATTACTGTCTCCTCTCTCTCTGGAACAATCTGACAGCTCTGTAAAAGTCAAACTATCATCGAACAATATAATTCTTTGCTTATCAAATTGATTTTATTGAACTGAATTGTGAGGGCCACCTATAAAAGCTTGACTCGTATGATAGTATTTTGAGAGGCGTTAACAAAATTGTTGCGTCAAATACGCAGGAATCACGCGTCATGTAAAACCCTGATGTCAATCACTGGATTGTCAGGTCCAGACTCGATTATTTACACGTAAAACAAGCAAAAATACCTTCTGTCACGTTGAATATCCATGTGTCGTCAAGTGGACCCGGTCGACCTCCGAAAATAATCACTTGATTTGTTGCTGTATGAAAACCAATTGCAACATCGCGACGGGGAGACGGTGAGGACGGAGTGGCGCCGCTGTGAATACGTTCCCATCGTAGTTGTGACACAACACTCGTCAGAAGGGACAAACAGAGAAGTGTATTGATCTTCCACATCGCAGTTGCTGAAAACAGCATCAAATAATTAAGAAACAATATCTCACTAATTAACATCTACAGTCTAATTAACGATGTTGTCTATAACGTTAAAAGGGTCACATGCAACGTAAAACACAACTTTGCAGATTCTGATACCTTTCGGTATGGACTTACCGAAACAAATCGTCAAAAATGCAAATTCAACTTATAAAGTTGAAAAATAACGCGATGAAAAAAAACGCGCGAAATCGGAGTTCAAACGTTTCACTAATTTTCCCCAGACTTTTCTGGGAAAAACGGGTTTCAACAGCTGGGCTGCGCTCATAGCACGTGCGCAGTGAAATAGGTTCGCGCAACTTGGAAGCGGGTTGTCCGGTGAATACTCGGCGAAGGCTTTGGTGTGAGCTATTTTTCTAATGTTTTGTTGATATCTCACAGGCGCGAGCTTTTTATATGTTATGACAGTAAATTAACTGTTTATATAATTTCATTTGTCAATTTCACCACACGTTTTTCTTACCGAGTCACTTTCTCAGTTCGATACTTAAAAGCAATGCCATTATTTAGCGTTGACAGAATTTCTAATTGTGATACAGATATGTCGTTGTCACAGACAAAACTCAATGTCTTGTTTTATTGACACCTGTGTGTCTGCCTGTCTGCTAATGACAATATTCAATACACAGCTGCTATCACTGACCACATGCAATTTGAACTTAACACCAATCAGGCTATACACCATAAACAAAATACATTGATTTATGGCCCGAGTTCGGTCTCTGTCACATTATGTAATTACACAGACAGGCAGGTGTGATACTTGAACACATGACATGTTATGATGTCTGTTGATTGCAAAATGTTATACACAAAAAATGAGCATGTATTTAAAAAACCCAACATCTCTATATATACACACACAATGAGCTGGCAAATGAACCAGCCGTTACACTTGAGTGCACACCCACCCGCTCTGACTGGGTTCGGTATCCCGGCTGCCTCGTTTCGAGGGAGGTAAACCCAAGTACAAAATATTGCACTTTTGATTTGCGATTATACGCTTTTGTTTATTTGTGTTTTTATAATCAGCAATGCGTATTATATGTCATGAAGAAGTGATAATTGTGTTTTAATTATGTTTGATTTTTTGGTTGCATGTGACCTGTTAAAACATTGGGTGCAGCGGACAGCGTTCTTGAAACTCAAATTTCACCCAACTAGTGTACAAAACTTCAATCACAAAGTGGCCAGACACAATTGTCACACAATATCAGGCTAGCTTCAAAGGTTGAAATGTTACTTTTGTCCTATGGTTTTGGATTTGTTTGGATCTCTTGGGGGAAAGATTTCCGCCCGTAACATTATATGCCTGAGAATATCCGCCTATGTTTTTTATAAACAGCCTATTCCTAACCCTAAAATCTAACCCCAAACCTTTCCCTAAACCCTCTGAAATAATCCTAATAAATAGAATACATTTCAAGTGGGGGTTACGGGCGGAACTCTTACCTGAGGGTTAAGGTAAGGGTTAGAGTTAGGGTTAAGGGGGGATACGGGCTTAAATCTGTCCATTTCAGTTTCATATTCAGTTTACCTGGGGAATATCTGCATTCAGTCAACGTCATTCACATCGAATTCTTTCTAGCGTTCATGCATTCATTGCACTCGAGAGATCAAGGTAATGCAATACACTGGAAATCGTTCCACATGAATACACATTATACCATTCTTTGACTTTATCTACTAGTATATACCTTGAACACAATTCCAAAGTATCCGGGACTTCAAAGAAATGACAGTGAGAGGTCCCGCTGTAGTCCGCTGTGCTTCATAGGAGATTTCAATTGTGAAAGATACACATGTCCTTAGATGCACGACTTCCACTCGCTGCACGTGCTTTCAATCACGTGACGGTTTGTTTTCAGAGGCAATCTCGTGCTGAAGCTGACCAGCGTCCCTGAGACGATGGATCAACTGTGTATGATCATATCATTCAAGAATACTTACTGATTTTCTCCTGAATGAAAAAATCCCGATTTGAATCGTTGATTTACTCTGAACAATATATGTATGTACATTGTTATCATTATGTAGCAACCATTTTTCAGTTGAGTTTTGATTGAGATCAGCATGTTGTAAATGTTAAGTAGCTAGTTATTTTTTCCAACTTAAACAGGTCCTCATTTTTTTATTTATAAAATTCTCAATATCTTTATTTAAAATATGAAAACAACAAACAGCTCTATTTGAACACTATTTTTTTTTGGAGGGGGGGGCAAGAATGGCGAAATTGCGTCGTGCAATAATTTCTACTGCTGCATAAATGTATGCCCAAAATATGTCATGGCCAGCTGTTCGCTGTAAACAACATGGAAGAGACATGTGACACTAATATCTGTGGAAGCAGAGACCATATTATATGGTCTCTGGTGGAAGCAAAGAAAAATCAAGAGAAAAATCGGGACATCAGTTTTTAGTGGCGCGGTAAATAAATAAACTTAAAAGTTACGCCCCTTTTAAATCTTTAAAGGGAGGTAACTAATGTCTTGCCTCTGTTGACTGGGCTCCTGTCTACCTAAACTTGTAAAAGCGCTAAACTTGCCTGCGCATACTATCAGTGGAAACAGTTTATTGCCGGTAGTGCGTGTTGTTTATCTTGAGTTGACGTTTTAGTTGTTTACATTTGTTCTTATGAAGTATATGAACTTTTGCGCAGCCTGAAGTATCTCGATATATGATGTTGTAAAGAGGGCCGAGTTGCGGACGACGACACGAAGATAGTGTTTGAGAGCTGGTAAGACACGTTGGGGGAATCTATGGGTGGGATTCTGATGATGATTTCTCAACATCCGACTAGCTATGTTTTCTGTGGCCACATTGACACAAAACAGTTCCTTTCAGCCATATGATCAATTGCCATGATGGCCATGATCTAACAGTACAACAGTTATCGATATGCAGGACGTATATGCAGCTTTTGTAAAAGGAGAGACCTGTACACTTTAGTTACGTCCTGTTACTGTTAATATTCTAGTAAAGTCCACTGAAGTCGTATTGTTATTTTGTTGTAAACATATCTACATCTGCATTAGTTATGCTGTTATAAACATTTTCACTTATAAATATTTGGAAAAGGTAGAATGAACCAAAAAGAAAACTAGCATGGGGTTGGCGGGACACTTTCATCGTGTTCATGCCACCCATTTCATCTGCATATTGGTACTCCCACCGAACCATGGTAGCATCCTTATTTATCATGTTTATAAAGGAAAGGAGTGAGCTAGTTGGACTTAATGAATTTTTTATCAGTAATCAGTTATATCCCAGCATGTGAGCTTTATATGGTAGAAAATGCAGGTCTTAGATGTTTCCATTTTGGGTATACACAAGCGCATGGATATAATGCTGACAAGCCTAAAGATATAACTGTAGGTGTCTTTCATGCTCTGAAAGGGTTTCATCTGAAAAGAGAATATGTTTGTCTCAAGTTTAAACTTTATGGCAAGTTGATTCAGGACGTTCAAATAATAATCATATTATGTGTCATAATCATCATGATGACCCAGGAATGAAAATATTGTCTCACATTTAATATATTAACTGTATTTAGACACATACATTAAGTTGGTTTCAGAATATAAGAAAATATGAAAAATGGCAGTTTGGTTAAAATTACCAATTATAGGGATAAAAACAATGTTGCACATTGCAAGGAGTGTATTGATGATAAGAACTCAAAATGTGAGAAGATGGTTGGGAAGAGAACTTTTTCTCTTTAATTCAAGAAACATAAAACAGAGGTACAGATAAGCTGTGTATCTGCGTAAATTACACAAATATTTATGTGAAAACTCAATTCCTATTAAGTCTATTGCGTCCAAGTACGCTTAAAGTTTTGTAAATACTCTATAAATTTGATCTTACAAGCGTGCATATAAAAATGTCAAATCTTAGCTTGCATACTGGTGAATTAGTTCCTGTCATCAAACCTACTAGAATTTGGAGTAAGCAGACCTATGTGCTACAGATGGAGGTTACTGAGGATAGATAAAGTAACTGAGGTACAGTGGAAGCTGTGTCACTCGGCATCTGCCAAATCCGGGCAAGTTGTCAACACTGGCATAAAATCTCAGTCCCATCTGTGGCTAGTACATTTATCATCATTTAAAAGCTCTGCAATCCGGCAGCTGGTAATTCCGGATCTTGACATGAAATGAGCCGCCCGAATATGTGTTTATATAGTAATCACCGCTGTCTAATTCGGTGCATGGTGAGGAGTCGGACAGATGTGTATTGTCACCAGTTAAATCCTGCGTTTAAATAACAAGGGATTATGAGCGCGTGGCATCACACGTTAAGTAACTACAAGTGCCGACATAGGTAATTGAATGTTTGTTCGGTATGGTTATACAAGTACATGTAATTAGTGATTGGCTAGAACAGATTAATAGACAGATGAGGCGACAAAGGCGGAAGATCTTGTTGTTTATGGATAATGCTCCAAGCCACGCCCACGGAGTGTCACTCAGCAATGTTACGCTAAAGTTTTTGCCTGCAAACACCACGTCCGTGTTATAACCTCTTGACCAAGGTATCATTCAGGCATCTAAAGTGAGTTATAAATCGTATCTCCTGAAGTCCCTCATTACAAGAATGGAAGAGACTGGTTCGGCAGATGAGTTGGCAAAATCCATCACAGTGCTGGACGCGGTTCACTGGATTTCAAAAGCATGGCGAGAGACATCGGAAGACACCATTAGGAAGTGCTTTGCCTCCTGTGGTTTTGATGCCGGTCCTATCAGAGAGGAGAGCGATGACGAAGATGACATTCCGCTGTCTAGGCTCATGTCCACTCTCGCCCCTGACATGACAACAGCAGATTTTGTCACCAGTGACATGGCCATCCCTACAGAAAACCCCGACACGCAAGAGTGGGAGGAGCAACTGTTGACGGCAACACCCAAGAAGAAGACAAAATGCAGTGTTCCTCCGATGAAGAGACAGAGGTTCCAGTTAAGCAGTCCTCCATGACAATGAGAGACTTCCTCAAAATGTGTATACGAAATGAAGCAATTTGCTTCGTCAAGCGAGACGCGCTTGCTGCCTCACACTGACAATTCAGAAAGTGTCGCTGAGAAAATTGCTCTCGAATTATCAGTTGTGAATAAACAAACCAAAATGTCTGGTATTTTTTTTAAATGTGTTGAAAAATGTGTGAATATGAGCTGAAATCTTTGTCTTATGTATTGTATTGTCAATGGGTGCAGTAATTGAGGGAAGCACGTGTTACAACACTACAATGTTCAGTTCTAGTCGTACGTAACCTTGCCAGCTCTACAGTCCGGCATGCTGTCCAAACCAGATAATTTCTTCAGTCCCGATGGGTGCCAGTTTAGACAGCTTCCACTGTATATTGAGAGGTTCTGTTTAGGATACCCAATTGAGATGAACACAAGGGAGTACACAACTCAATGACCCCAAAAGTTATCTGTAGCTCTGATAAAAAAAAGGCCCAATTATTTATATTAATGACAACACTCCCATGTTTTAGCATTATAAGATTGATAAGATGTTTTAGGCTTGATTATGGATATAAAAAAAATCAGTTAACACACTGCTTATATGCTTTTCATGCTCAAAGAACACTTTGAAACAACATTATCAGAATAGATGTTTGTGTTTTTATATTTCAAGTGACGGATGCTTCTTTTATTGCTGATGTGTTTTTATTTCAGACAAGTATGGACACATGTAGATGTTCAGTTTTGTTGAGATGTGGGAAATGTTCTGTGGTCATGATTGAATAAGAAACTGACTCCGTGGTGTAGTATCAGCTGCTGCAAGATAGTATTACAACACTTATGTACACATCTGCCTGTCAGTCTATGTCAGGCCATATACAGTAGACCTTGTTGCTGATTATGCATTTTTAGATCAGATTAATTGATTCAACACATTGTAAGATCATTAACATTTTTATGCTTGTTGTAGAATCATCATATTTTGCACTCATGGTCTTTATAGCCTAATGAAAGTTAATCCTGAAGTGTCCAGGCATAGTAGAATTGGAGTAAGGGAGTTTATTCCAGCAATATCACAGCGGGGAACACCAGAAATGGGCTTCACATGTTGTACCCATGTGAGGAATCGAACCCTGGTCTTGGCGTGATGAGCGAACGCTTTAACCATTAGGCTATCTCACCGCCCAGTAGAATTGGAACCTCCTTTTCCATAAACAATAATTTGGAATACTGTTTTGTCTGTAGTGCTTACACATGCAGATCATACAACAAAACTTGAAATTATTTTACCATTACACTAATTTACAGCTGGATGAAGTTCTATGATTGCCATACTTAGTAATGACATGTATTTTGGCTATAATAGGGGTTATTGTTGCTTATGTAATTTAAGTAAGGTATTTACTGAAATTATTTTAGTTTGAAAAATAAACTGTAAGGTTTTCTTCTCAATATTGCATTATGGCTCAAAACATTTTTTATTTTCATCCAAAGTACTCCCACTGGACAAGCTCCTTTTCAGTCCTTGTCATGTTGACATTTTGTGAAATATTTCAATTTTGTCAGAAAGCATTGCGGCCAATAATTTAAACTAGTTAATGATATTCCTTTTTGACATATATGTTAATTTACATATAATTGTAAATGGAGATTTTTTTCCACATTCTATTTATCTTTTATTGAACAGAAAAATAACTTGTACAACTGCAAAATTTAGCTATAATAATTTGACATTTTCAGACAGTAACTGGTAAAATGCAGTGTAATGTCTCTGGGCACTTCAAATATCTGATGAAACATCATGAATATGGTAAAGAAAACTCATGTTTAAAAGAAGTGATATTTGTGAGGATAGACCATACTGTAATAAAATTAAGTAAATTGGTTTTTAATTTTGTCAAAACAAAGCAAGGTCACTACTTTCCTACATTTGGTATTGTTGGCATGAAAACATCTATGAATAGAGGTTTCAGACAGGATATGCTACCTATTTCCTTATGATGAATGTCAACAAATACAGCTTTAATCCTAACAAAACACCAAGCAGAATTATATAACTGAACTATATTATTATTAATGCAGAGATTTGCTTTTGTCATGTCTTGAGGCAGCTTGGTTGCATTTCTTAATACCACACATGACAGTGTGAAGCTGTGTGATTTCTTCTGCTAAATAAGGCAATCTCTGTAACTAAATGTTTCATTTTGATTATCCTTCATATATACATGATCTATCTTGAGGTCGTACATGATGATACTGTCCCAATGATCCCATGAAGCATGACATATTGATAGTTCTACAACTCTCCGCTCGACTGACATCATAATCATGCAACACACTCATGTTCAAAGAGAAATGACAACAGCTGGCTTGGTAATGTTCATCTGGGTGAGGTCACCCACTATTGTCATTATGTCAGTACATGAAATATGAAAAATAGATCACTGTATCTCACATCCTTTTGAACTCTCCTAGAATTATATATGAACATTTTTACCTCCCAAAATTGTACGGACACCACATAATTACCCAATGTAGCTTACATATGTTTGTCCTTACAGATTATTATTTCCTGTCAGAATGCAGGTGGACAGATTTAAATTAGAAGTCACCTGAAACAGAAATTTCAACGGAACTTAATTTGAATAAAAGGTTCACTCATTGGCTTAAACATGTTGAAAATACACTAGAGACTGGAGAAAGACGTAATAGTAATTTAATTAGTCTACTAGTCCCTGACTGGGAATGAAAATTCAAGAAAGACTTAGGGACATTTCCTTGTGGACTACCCCTTTTACCATTTGCTACATCATGTACATGGAAACTCCTTAACTGATCATTTTTACAGACAGGTGAAAACCCCCAATGTATTACTACCCCTGCAATGCTCAAATAAAGACTATTAATACCCAGTGTGAAGGGACGTGTGAGTATATACCTGGTAGGGTTGTTTTGCCTGGAGCTCTATATGAAACATTATGTATCAATACATTTCACAGATTAAAATGTCATCATGTTTTAGCATTGTTGTACAGTATTTGGAAGGTTCTTCCCAATTAGCCATCTGACCAAAACAATTACAATCCACTTCATACACATAAAATAAAAAACATTTCATTTTTCTTCCTTCTAATTAAGTTCATCCTTCTTCAGCTCATCTGTGAAGAGTATTTGCCTAATCAATATCTGCCAACCTTATTGCCTGTTTACATATGCTTTTAGTCTCAACATTTATTTCTTTAGCAAGGTGAGCTCTAGTACCTCTGTATTTAATATTAATATTAATAACAATATTATCATTACCGGTAACTCTATACACAAGATGTATGCCCAAAGCGCTAACATTATTATCATGATTATTAGGTCATTGGTATACAGGGGGCAGTTGGGTTGCCCAAATGTTCGCTCATCACGCTGGACCCGTGAAGCCTATTTTTGGTGGTCCTTGGACTTGGATATATTTGCTTCAGGGTCTGTATGACAGAATACCCTACCATGATGTAGCTGGAATATTGCTAAAAGCAGCTTAAGACCAAACCCACTCGTTGGTATGCAGTGTAATGAAAGTTTTATGTGACAGTTATCCAGCAACAATTTCGTCCAGATGTATATGTTAGTCATGTTAGTCATCACCCCATTTGACCAAATGACATCAGTCTGTCACAGTCCCTGGATCGCATATTTTCCCTTCTGCCCAGCCCTTTCTGCAATGCTAAAGCCCTAAATGATGCAGAATCTCCCTTCTCACTGGTGCTCCTTTTCAATTTAAAAGGAATTGGTTGTTTCTGTCAGAGACTATGCTTGTGAATACACAATGCCATTTAGAAAGTAGTCAAAAGTAAAGTTTTGGATTACACTTTCTCAGTAAAGTTCAGACTCTAGTACTTTTGTTAGGTTGAGTCAGTGTATGAAATAAGCCAAAAATCCAGCTAGACATCAGGGCTGGTAACTTCAAAATGTTACCAGCCCAAAATGGATTTAACCAGACCAAATATGGTGAATTTACTCAGATGTATGGAACATCTAAACATTTTACCAGACCATCGGGCTGGCTAGCTGTAAATTTAGACCATCTGTCAGAAATCTAGACCGTCCCAGGCGTTCGGACAGGCCTTATTTCATACACTGGTTGCGTCGCATCCGGGATTCAAACCTCCATTCTCAGGGTGAGGCACCTATTCACCAGCACACAAAGTCAGTCATCTAACCAGTTAATGTGACTCAAACGTTTCAATAAAACATAGAATCACCCCATCATCAAGTAAATTGTATAAAATCAAGAGTGAACATGATAAAGTTCTTCATAATTTCCTAGCCTGTATGTGTTTCTTTCTCTATTATTCAGTGTTGAACATTCCACATTTGTTGAGCCCTGCCCATTCAAGATGGTGTCATACTGCCAGCAGATGGTCATGTTCTCAAGCCTCTATGTGGGCTACATGCTGTTTGTCTATGTGAGGAAGTCCTTCTCATTTTCCACACCTGCCATCATGGAGGAGGATGTCTTGGAGAAAAGCCAGCTAGGTAATTTCATATATGAACCTAGAAGTCAGTGATTGAATAACTATGACATGCTTGTGACCATGGTGTCCCAGCTTGGTAATTTCTTTTTATGAACCCCTAGGGTTCAGTGATAGAATAATTCCTCAATGTGACATGCTTGTGATTGTGGTGATCCTTACTTGGGGGCAGAACAGGTCCTCAGTAACCATCATTACCATGGTTACCCTCATTCATCAACCTGCACTGATCTGCAGGTGGACTAGGGCCCAAGGTACTGAGGTTACTCTCATTAGTCTCCCTGCAGGGATTTGGGGACATACAAGATCCCCAGTGTCCATGGTAACACTCACTATTCTCCCTGCAGGGGTCAGGATTGGGTTTGAGCATCCCATGTTATCTCCCTGTTTGGAATCCTTTGCGAAGTAGAATTTGTATGACTTCCGGGAGTAGAATGGTCCCCAATAACCCATTCTTTTCTCCGCAATGTTGATATTTGAAGTGAGTACTTGTCTAGTACTTGTCAGAGTTTGTATATGAATAAATGTTTGTATTTGCCACAGTTTGATAATCTAACAATTGAGGTGTTTGTCCAGGTTTGATAGTGAGCAGTCAGATGTTCGGCTATATGGTGAGCAAGTTTATCAGCGGCATCCTGGTTGACTTCTACAGCCCCACCTTCCTGTTTGCTGCGGGACTGTTCTTCACTGGAGTTACTGCTGTCACATTTACAGGTTTGTACATACTGCAGTAGTCCAATAGAGGGGCAGCTCATGCCTCACAAACCAAGGGAAGTTCCTTCCTCACTTGAGTTATGGCAGACACCAAAAAGTAATTGAAATCATATGTTTCCTTCAATCTACTTGAAGATCTGGGGACATCTCAGTGGGAGATAATGTTAGGTGAACTTTCTTTTTTCAGAGCTAAGACTTCCAATATCTTCTGTATGAGGAAGCTGAGCATTCCCAAAATCGTTTATAATATCTGTATGTTGAAAACAAATGCATTTGAAGAGCATGGAATGATGAGGGTGCACAATTACATAGTTGTGGGTTTGTCATATACCTTTTGTTTCTACACAAAATTTCAGATTCAAATTCTCAATGTCACAAGGCTTTATAAATTTCTTCTCTTCTTTTTAGACAGTAGATAACTGGTACATAATTCTTCCCTGAAAATGAAAATGGCCCTTACAGAACTATTAACAAAAACAGTTTCTTTGATAAGTGGGGTGGTGGAGTAACCTAGGCAGACCTAGGTTTGATTCCCCACATGGGTACATTGTTTGAAGCCCATTTCTGGTGTCTCCTGCTGTGATATTGCTGGAATATTGCTAAAAGTGGGGTAAAACCAAACTCAATCACTTTGATATGTACCTAAACTAATTTAATACACCAATGGGGATACTGACATAATGTTCAGTAGATTGATGTGTTATTATACAGACAATCAATTAGCTGAACTAAAATAGATCAATCAGACTAGATTTGGGAGTTTGGAGTTGCAGCTGAAGTGTCAGATTGTTGATCATTTTCTGACACCATGATTGAACTGGCTGACACTACTGGGTGAATGTGTTGTCCTTTTTGTGAATTGCAGTGTTCAACTCATGGATGATATTCACAGTCATCTGGTTCCTCAATGGAATTGTTCAGGGGACTGGCTGGCCGGCATGTGCTGTCCTCATTAAAAGGGTAGGATACGTTCAGTCATCTGGCAATGGGCAAAAGTATTTGAAATATTGTCAAATACCCTTGGCTATGTGTTGGAAGTGTTTTCTTCAATACCGATATATTTCTACACCAAAATAAAAGCATTATGATGTGTTTTTAAAGACTTTGTTTAATCGTTTTTCTCTATGTACTTTGAGGCTGTGAAGGCGATGAACTCTATAATATGAAGTGTAGGCTAGCTGGAAGGTTCCATAGCTTTGCATTAGAAGCATTAGTAAATAACAGAGCAGTGCATGGTTTCACAGCTGAAGTTACTACATGTCTGAAGTTGTATGAACAGTAAAACATTATTAAAAATGTTTCAATATACTGTAGATAAATAAATTCCAAAACTGTTTTAATGATATATTTTTTTTTTAATGGAATGTCAGTAGTGGGAAATAATTTAAGCCATAGATTTATTTTAAATGGTTATACCTGAACATGGAAGAAGCAGAGACTGGAACCAGTGAGATGATTCAGTTTGTTAAGTGATGATGTTACTGTTGCAGTGGTTCTCCCCGGATCAGTTCGGCACATGGTGGAGCATACTGTCTACATCCATGAACACTGCTGGCACAGTTGGTCCTCTGGTGTCAGCAGCCCTTGTTACCTCGCATGGCTGGAGGATAGGCATTATAGCATCAGGTGAGCAAATTGTATTTTTGCATGGATAAAATCCTTTCATCAGGTGGGCAGGTAGAATATTTGCCTCTTGTGGGCAAACTAAGTCATTGCAGCATGCTGGCAGATAAAATCAATGCATCACATGGGTACACTGAATCATAGCATTAGATGGACAGAATGAATCATTTCATCACATGGGTACATTATGAGTTGTTCACTGGTCACGAGGGGGGCATGGGTTGAAGGGACCAGTGAACAACGTATTTATCTTGCCGAACCCCTTAATGTTAATTTTGAATTGTTTGAAGCACGGGTACAAATCTTTTTGTAGCCATCGCTAGATTTTGCTAACTAAAAAACCCAACAGATTTAGAGTTATCTCCCTTCCTTCGATTTGCATTCACAAAACATTGTTACTTTCCGTACATCATACGTGATTCAATGTTATTCGAGATAAAGAATTACTACCACGAAGTACCAAATGAGTTGCCATTGACAGCGGGGTACATTGAAATGTTACTCACTTGCAAGCGGGGTACATTGAAAATAATAGAAGAGCGCTCAGCCAGTCAGAAAGCGACATTTATGTGTGAGGTAAGATAATAAATCATAGCATTTGGTGGACAGAGTGAATCATTGCATCACATGGGTACATTGAATCTTTGTATCAGGTGAGCAGATTAAAGCATTGCATTGGGTGGGCCCCTGGATTCATTGCATCAGGTGGACGGTTTGCCCCATTTAATGTTGAATGTTCCAGGGTTGCCTGTTTGATGTATTATGTCTTGTATGTTGCAGGTTTGATGGCGATGTGTTTTTCTGGCGTGTGTCTCCTGCTGCTACAGGACTACCCGCCAGGCAGTGAACCAAAGGCAAAACTGGATGCTCCCAAACTCAAAGATTTCTGTAAGCTGCTTTATATGATGGGATGCATTTGCAAACAATTTCACTAACACAAAACTGGAACAACACCTGCTCGTATTGTTTGTGTTGGCATATGAACAGCCATGTTTGGTTTATAGAAGGACAAATTAAGGGGCATGTAAATCATGAGGGAAAGTCAGCTTTGAATGTTCGCAGCTGAAAAGTTTCAGATTCATTTAATCCATCTTCCTATGCCGTCAGTGGCATGAAATTTTTCCAGTCATGAGATCAATACATTATTCATTGGAATTGACATTTCAGTAGCATGTTGTCACTTATAATTTGGCTACACACTCTAACGGAGACCCGTGAAGATCTGCGTTAGAATTGGTCTTCAGCAACCCATGCTTGTCGTAAAAGGGAACGAACAGATCGAATGGTCAGGCTTGCTGACATGGTTGACACATGTCATTGTATCCCAATGGCGAAGATAGATGCAAATGCTGTTTATCACTGGATTGTCTAGTCCAGACTTGATTATGTACAGACAGCCGCCATATAGCTGGAATATTGCTGAGTGCAGTGTTAAACTACAAACCAAACAACTTACAAGCTACCGTATCCAGATTGGCTGATAGGGTTAGGCTGTCGTGCATTATTGTGCTGGAGAGAGTGAGTGAGTGAGTTTAGCGTAAGAAAAGGAAACTCAGGTGAAGCTGTTTTGACTTGACATCACACTCTCTGATGCAGGCCAGTCAACCAATTTGTAAAGACAAGTTATGATAAACACACAGACTGAGAAACTATAGTCCATCTGTATAAATACACTATAATCACACAGAGAAGTGCTTGTTGTATTTTCCAGCATTAGCACAACAGAAGTCTCGTCTGCCAGTGTTGTTCAGCTGTCCATTGTACGTGATGGTCTGCATCAACTACTGGATCGTATCCTTCATCCGTGGCGGCTGCAACGACTGGGGTCAGCTCTATCTCATAGAGGAAAAGGGGCAACCATCATTTATTGGTACAGTTTACATGAACATAAGACGTGTAATGACACATAACTCAATGTAACAATTGAAGATGTTATGAATATTCATACCTTATGTAGAAAAGGTGATTACCAGTTTTGAAGGACATAACAATTCTAGAATCCATTGATTTCATAGTTATGAAAATTACATCTATGAAAATTAATTTAATTTAGATCTGTGTAATTGGCAAAATCTCAGGAAAGTGAGATAGGTTATTTGTTTATTTTTGATACATATGCTACATGATTAGTAAACCATTGCTGGAATTTGTGAAACACAAATTTATGTCATGTTTTGAAAGGAGAGGATGTTTCGAGTGGCTTTAACAGGGCTACAGATAAGGGGTGTACAGGCGTAATGTACGCCTCAAAATCAATTAAGTACGACATTATATAAGATTTCAAGCGTATCATGTACGCACATAAATACCTTTGTACGTCTAACATTTAATTTCCGTGCGTATCGTGCAAATGGAAATCTATTTCGGATAAATACTTGTCATGTTTCTTTTGCGAAACACGATTTTGACACATGAGGAAATCCCGACAGCAGGAATCACTTGCGTTGCCATGCAACGATATGCGTCACTATTTTTCGATTGGCTAAAAACTACACTGTTCCTATTTATATCCAGTCGGACCTGACATTTCGCGCATATCACAGTCTCTCAGTTATTTCTCACGCGTCTTCAAATACAAATACATGGTTGGAAATAGTGATCGATGAATCGTCCAGACAAACCACATCACCAACTCGCTCACACAAAAACATGTCAGTACTCCTTCAAAATTCTCAGTACACCTCCACTTGCAATATGATGTGTAAGTACACTCGCACCCCAAAAAGTTATCTGGAGCCCTGCTTTAATTATGAGCACAATATACTGTAACATCTTGAAGTTTTGGTAACCTTGTGGTTAATGTGCTCTCACATCATATCAAAGAAATGGGTTGGATTGTCCATACAATACATGGGTACGCTTTGTTTAGCCCATTTCTGGTGTCCATTGCCATAATATTGCTGGAAACCGCTGAAACTGTACTTACTCACTCACCCACTTTAGAATGGTGGACTTCTATTGTTGGACATTAGCTCAAACCACCATTGATTCTGTCATGGGCATATGGTAACATCATCATCTACATTCCAAGGTTTCACTTTATAACATACTGGATGTGTTACTCTTCTTACAGGAAGTGCTTTCACAAGCAGCCAGGAAGTTGGTGGAATTGTGGGATCGGTACTTGCAGGCTACATATCCGATTATTTGGTTTGTAAGGTTAGTATTATGTACAAGGATGTGGTTCTACAAAACAACCTTAGCGATAAGACGATCATAACCTTTTGAGAAGGTATGGGAGTTATAATCCTCTTAGTGCTAAGATCACTTTGTACAATGGCACCCAGGTCTATTTTGAATGGTTAGAGGTGGGAAGAGATTAAATGGGGTTTAACATCGCTGTCAAGATGATTGCAGTAAACTTACTTAATATATCCATGGAGGGTAACAAAACAGAAATCTATATGAGGCTAGGAGATTAACCATTCACTCTTTGCTCTCCAGGAGGAGATAGTTGTATTACATGCCTTCTCAAACTTGTAGGTGTCATAGACTATAACTTTGTTTTAGAGCTTGAATGTATTTACTCAGAATTGTACTACTGTTGTTTACAGAAAGGATGGCAGGTGAATCCACGTCTGAAGGTGGTGTTGTGGTTTACCTGGATGACAGCTGTGTGTATCTACCTGTTGTTGTACTATGTTAAGGCGGACTCACCTAAAGTAAGTCTAGTTTTGAAGATAGTAGTACTATTGCTATGTTCGGGAAGCCTGACAATATGTCTTGTTGTAGGCTAGTAGGCTATGTAAACTATATAAAGTGCAACTTTTGTAAGTTTCAGGAGTCAGGATGGTAGTACAAAATAAAGCCTTGGTTATTATTTTTGTTGACACTGTTATCTTCAGTATGTTAAACACTCTCTACCTCCACATAAGAGGGTGATGTACTAGCCTAATTGTTAAAGTGTCTGCTCGTCACGCTAAAGACCTGGGTTCGATTCCCCACATGGGTACAATGTGTGAAGCCCATTTCTGGTGTTCTCTACTGTGATATTGCTAGTATATTGCTAAAAGCGGTGTGAAACACACACGCATGCACGCACCCACTCACTCACCTAAGAGACTGTCTCAAAAATATACTGCCTTATAAGATATGCAAGCTTTAAGAGATGTTTTATATCTAAATTACTGAATTGTTAACTTAGGAATAATTGCTTTGTAGTTTTGGGTCAGTGCCCTCGGGTTTGGTATTGGCTTTGGACTGTATGGTGCCACGGCTATGTTTGGAGTCACATCCATGGAAACCGCTCCATCACGCATGGAGGGAACAGCTCACTCCATTGCTGCCCTTGCTTCCAATTGTGAGTACCTTTCGGAATTCGTACTAGCCCCATAGCCAAAGTCTACTACATTGTGCTGCAGACAAGTATAATTCCAAGCTGTTATAGTTAGTATTTCTCAATAAGTTTAATATATTTGGCATAATCAGTGTTTTGGGATCATTCTGCTAAATGTGGGAGAAAATGTTTGAGTGTAGTAAAGAATATTTACTACATTATTGTATGTTGACCCAAAACAATTATTTTGGAAGAATTTTGTGCATTTGATCGCACATATATAACAAGCTTGAATTTTACTTCTCAATGCGAAAAAACGTATCATAAGCACATAAAACCTGAAATATCATGTGAACAAATCCATAATAGATTACGCATATAGATCCTGCTTTTTCCCTACCTGGCTATAAAGTATTCAATGTATATTTGGACTTACATTAGGAATGCATTATATTAGTTCTATTCACGATTTTTTTCAGTATTCTTTACATTAATTTTGTTAAAGTTGTTAATGAACACCCCAACAAATTTCGGCGTAAATAGCTGTAATATTGCTGATGTGGCATAAAGCAATAATTATTCCTTCTTTAACAATTCGCAACGCCTCACCAACAACTCTCCTTGAAATGAATGTTAGCCTTAAGAGATACAAGGTCTCCCTACTACTGTATCCTAATTTGGTTTCCTTTTGTCTCAATATCATTCTGGTCATGCGAAGTTTTTTCAAATCCCTCATATTAGGGTGATTACAAAAGACCATGTTGTGTTGGTGTTCTAAGTGAGCTCTCGGTATTCATCTTAAAACTACATGGTACCTCAGTGGGTTAGCACTAATAAACCAGCATCAAACCAGGCTAATAAGAGCAGCCAGACACTCATTCATGCTCATGGCTGTGTAAGTGTAATAATCTCGGATTTGAACTCCATTTCACCTTGACCTGTGAAGATCCGGGTTAGAATTGGTCTTCAGTAACCCATGCTTGTCGTAAGAGGCGACTAATGGGATCGGGTGGTCAGGCTCGCTGACTTGGTTGACACATGTCATTGTATCCCAGTTGCGTAGATCAATGCTCATGCTGTTGATCTCTGGATTGGCTGATCTAGACTTGATTATTTAGACTGCTATCGTATAGCTGTAATATTGCTGAGTGTGGCTTTAAATAACCAACCAACCAACCAACCTTTTCACCTCACATAATTCAGCCTTTCTGTTGCAGTGGGTATTGTAGCATCGGGCCTTCCTCTGAGTCTGATTGCAAGGTTTTACAACTGGCATGCATCATTCATCGTCCTTGGTTACCTATCGATGGGGTCAGCACTGCTTGCTTACTTCAGTCAGTGGCCATTCAGTCCGCCATCAGAACAGGAAGAAGTTGACAATGCTGACGACAAGAAAACAAACTGAAGCGATGTCATTGTTGTTTTATTTCACATCTCAGTCAGAATCATTCAGCATATTTTACATTCAGATGGGATTTATCCAGACATATAGATAGTAGTGTATAAGTCTAAGCAGAAATGGTTCTTGAACCAGATTGAAAGGACAAGATGGGCTGTTTAGTAGGGGTGAAACGGTACGCTCTTACCAAAGTATGGTATGTATTACGGTACAAGGCATTCAGTTCGGTCCGTTTCGGTTCGGTATATGAGATATGATCATAGCACAAAAAATTGACAAGAGCCAAACCTTTCATTGTTTAGTAGCATGGGAAAAAAATAACCATAATCTTTGCTATTTTGAATGAACAAAATTGTCATTTAATGACTAGATAGAAGAACGGTACGAAAAGCGAAAATACCGAATTTTTGGATTGCATTATGGTATACTGAACCGAAGGCAAAATACTGAGGTTCTAGTAATACCGCGGTATACCATTTCGCCCCTGCATTCAAGTTCTTTTTTTTTCCAAATAAGACATGAAGTAAATGTTGTAGGCATTGTTAACCCTACAGCCTCGCTCCAATCATTTGATTGTATCAACATGTTCATCAAGACAAACACATTAATTACAATTACTTCAGCTTGAACTTCCTTGCATTCAGTAAAATTGTGATACTCCGGACACCGGGGATGTCCATCATCCTTATAATGACTTCCTCGCACTATGTTTGTTCATGAGACCTCATCAGCTACCCAAGTCAGTTATTTACAGTATTAAAGCAGTGTTTTAATATTTTCCAACCAGATTGGCAAGTCTCAATAATTTGTCAGTCCAGTTAAGAAGTTGTCAGACCAGACATTTATGTAACTGACATGTTCCATACATTCCATGTTACATTACCAAAAGTTACACAAAGTATTCTCATTGGATGCTTTCTATGGATGCAGAGTAAATTGAGCCAATCAGCAATTGCCAAAGTCAACATCACTGTCAAATCTCATCAACTGGTCATACATCATTCTTCTATGCAGAATAATTATTGGACATTTCCTGTGACATATAAACATCGGGTTATTTTCTAAATATCACTTTACGATATAAGTTCATACCTCTATTTTACTATGTCTATGACAAAAAGCAGCCAGACAGTCTGACATGCATATTTTAATTTGCCATCTTAGCCTGTCTTAGACAGGTGGGTTGGGGGGATATGGAAAACACTGGTTAAGATGTTTGAATCTCTTCAAGAGCTGTACCTGTTTAGCTCTCATCAATTTTAATGCAGACTAGATGAAGGTCAGTTTAGTCAGCAATCTTGAATTTCAAATTTTGTAGCCCATTGTAACAATTTGATTCTGTTGCCCATTTCAAAATATCCAATATATGATTGCTTTATTAATGATATGTGAGTGATAAATATGAATGACTTCATATTGATCATATATCATTAGCATCACATTGTGCTCATTTACGGTCTCGTAACATAACTGTAACTTAAGAGAGATTATGCTTAAACCCATAACTCAAGAACACCCATTTTGAGCCACATCATCTGATTTCATTCATGCAGAAAAAGATGTCAAGGAAAAGTTAAATGGATAACATTAAGTAACAGCAACATACATATACATTACTGAATCATTCAGTTCATTGTATTGTGAGCTGTAAAACAGCAGGTGACTTGAGGGAACTACAGGTGATACGCAAGCAGTAAATGTGATCCAGAAAATAGTCTAGCGATATTTATAGAGGCTCTTTTATACAACCATCTTCATTGATCTAGTCATTTTACAGCATTGTCACCATTCAAACTTCCTTCAAGACCTCTTTTGTCCATATATTCATGATAGCCTTGCATTGTTATCATAAATGTCCTTATATTATTTACCAACTTAAGTTCATGATTGCATCTTAAACACAACTATCTTTACATATGATGTCCTTTAATCTTTGTCACATCTCTTTTTGAACCTCATTCTGTTCTTCTTATATTATCCATGTATTTTTTCATGTAAAGTTAACATCCTTAAGTCTGTATCATTATGTTGGATATCCCCATGTCCTAAAAACTCATTAAGTTTTGTCTTTAAGTGTTTACATGTCCTTATGTCACATGCTCTTATGTCTTTGATGAAGTTCACTCAAGTCTCATGAACGTAATGTTATGAAGTCCACATCAGTTATACTGTACAGTCCTTATGTAGTTATACTGTATTTTTAGTTTTTTGTTATTTTGTTTTCATTTCTGACTGTTGTCTGAAGATCTTTCTTACTCCACAATGTTAGTGTCAGTTAGGCCAGAAACTTATGTTCCAAATCATAAGATCAGCATGTTTTGTCTCAGTGGGCAGAACTCCATGGCAACAGTGATGGAGGTTCATTTAGGCAAGGAAAGGTAACTTTTTGTTGGCATCTGAGATTATCTATTCAGCTGAATTTTCTATTTGCATGGCATGTTTTGAATGATCCGCCATTGTTTTAAACTTTTCATGGCCTTTGGTGTGCAAATTTCTTACTTGTTCTATGCTTTCAAGTTGGAAGGATAGGCAGATCTAATGTTTCCTGGTGTTTGTATAGGCATATGAATTTGCATAAAGTTTAGAATACCTGAAGAAAAAATGATCTTTGGAGTTGTTAAAAAAATGGATGTTTAATCTCAAGAAAAAGAATCTACAATTGCTCTTAGGTGTCTGAGGAACAAAGGTCTTTCACTGTACAGGATTCTCTCAAACTCTGCCCGATAGTTCAGTTGTCTTTGTTATCTGTTCTTCAAAACATCTTAAGACTACCTTTATCAAACCAAGAACAGCATTGAAACTGTGCATGAAACATGTACAAGTAGAATATATCATAGCAAGTATGATTCAAGTCCCCCACGTTCTTGTCCTTTGGCAAGTAGACATGTTTCGGATTGTTTTGCCATACACTTGTTTAGAATCCACCTCAAAATTTTCACCACTGCCTTGATCCATAGATGAAGATGATAATTACAAAGTACCCAACCACTCAAGTACTCATCGGGAAAATCAAGACACTCTCATTTTCATATCCTCAAGGGTCACTGATAAGGTCATCTTCTGTTCACCGTGGAGTGTTGTATCAGAATTCCGGTAACGTGTTCAAATCCTCGTTTATGTTTCCAAGTTTGTATTTTTTTTATTCCAGCATAGCAGAAAGTAGGTACAATCACATTGGCATGAACAGTTGTACAGGGCCTAGATTTTCTAAACTCTCTTAGCGCTAAGATAGTCGTAAGTTAAAGTTAATGTATGGCACTTAAGACTATCTTAGCGTTAAGAGAGCTTCGAAAATCTAGGCCCTGGCTTGTTTGAGAGACAAAGTTCAAGAGAGGCACAATGAGAGCAAAGGGAAGTAACTGTTTCCAAGTTTTTCAGCACCATACCATCTTTAACGGAAATACTGTTCTAAATGGTATTAAACTCACTCATTCCTGTGTGCATCCTGCTGATTTGGGGAGTCTTGTTTCAAAATTATTCGCTTCCCTTATCTTTGCTGAACAAATGGAAATATAATCAGATTCTTGATTTTAAAAATCCCCACCCCCGACATAAACTAAAGTAATAATTTCTCCTGTACCAATTCTGTATAATCATGTTCAAGGCATTGCAGAATCACTTTAATGGCAAACCTCTTGATTTGACTCATCTTTTTCAGTTTTAGCAGCTTTACAAAAATGCATGAATGTATGTCAGTTTATGTATTAACTTGACATCATCAACTGAACAATGTATATTCAAAGGAAGTGTCACCATTCCTGCTGGAAAGTGTGAAACTTGTGGTAATTCTATCTCTATTTGTACGTATGGAAGGTTGACATGTTGTGATGGAAATATGCACATGTTTATGCATGTGTGTACACCTATTCATCATCAGATCCACATTATCAGTTCAAGATCAAAATATTTTTCAAATGACATGATGATAAAGTGGAACATTGAAAAGGTAGACACCAGACTTTAGTATTTGTTTTTCACCAACATTTCATTTTGTAATGTTTTTTTTCTCATTGAAGGAAAATTTGAAAATGTTACTTATTTAATGTAAAACAAAATAAGGAATATCAAAACCTGTTTGCGTGACAAATATTGATTCTTGTGAGTTTGTGTTAACAGTTATTGGAACTGGCAACAAGAGAGAATCATTAGAAGGTTGGGGTTGGCTTAGTGAATGAATATTACTTTTTGCTGCATTAGCCTTTTAAAATATGTTCATGTTTGTTATTTTGCTGATTGTGACTACTGTTTATAAGTTGTTGTGCTATATTGGTGCCTTCATTTATTTCCATTTTTTGTTTCTTTGTCCGATTTTGTTTTAGATGTTGAAATGGAGTACAGTAAACTACGGCTATAAGAAACTCAAAGGGACCATTAATTGTAGTTTGTTATAACCGTTGTTTCCACTGTCAGACATCTTGGATCAAGTCGCGTGACCACATTGTCACATGACAAGCAACAAAAGCATGCAAAGGTGTGTATACTCTGACAAGTCAGCCGCGTATTCCATCTCAAGTACATTTTCAGGGTGTAAACAATTTGTGAAGAACATGCAGAAAGATACTGATAGTTTGGTCTTTTTTTGAGTGACATTGGAGTGGTAACATTTTAATCAAATAATCCTTTTCTGTCTGATTTAATTGACATTGCGTACTGTTATCCCCGACATGTATATATTGATTGCTTCTGTTGTTTATGGCATATGTTGGTGTTTTCAATATCATTCTTATCACACAGTTGCTCAAGGTAATCATTTCTCTTTGTTGATTTATTGTGTTCAGAATGCAAAGTAATATTTTGTGAAAAAAACAACAAACCAGATCACAATTTGATAAAAACTGACATCCTTGATATGAATCATGCGTTTATTTGGGTAAGAGAGTAAGGTACATTTGTATGTGGTATTTACATATATGTGTCTAGTTTTCTGTGTTTTGTTCAAATTTAGTGTGAATATACATATACATATATATGTCACTCCTCTAATACTATTGTGTATAATTACTATTGCAGGTGTGAAGGGTTGACTAATTCACTGAGAAGTGATGAAATCAGTAATGTTGAAGGAGTCTCAAAAATACACATTTAGAGTTAGGTATTATACTACCTCCTTTTAACAGTAACTTTTAGAGTTCTGTATGCTTGAGTCATTAATTATTAGTTTTGACATGTGCATGCTTTTTTTCTCTTTTGACATGTATACACTGATACTGATGAATTTATTCATCATATTGTTGAATATTTATCTATGAACATGTAGTCCTTTGTTCAACAAAATAGAAAGATCCTTAGTGAGAATAGTTTCCAGATGGTAAATGCAGTATCCAGTAGTGTTTAATTGGCATAAGGTGGAATCATGTGTTAATATTGACAGTGGTCGGTTGGGTAAACACTATGTACATGGATCTTGGTATTGAGTTGTCCATTCTTGGTCATTCAGGGCCCACCTGATCAGTCACAGTTCGCTAACTGTCTTTATTTCAGGGCTTCAGTAAATTGACATTAACCTTTGGATCCATTCCTGTGTTTCTTGCAAATCTTATTGTACCCACCCTTGCTTTGCATTGGTCATTTTGAATTTGCTGATCCTCTGTCTAATGGACCAATAAGAATGCAAGTTACAAATTTGGGTTGGTGTTGGTAATCAACAACATGGCAGCCAGTATAATTTGTGTTGTTTAATACTGCACTCACCAATAGTCCAGCTATATGGCTGCGGTTTGTAAATAATCGAGTCTAGACCAGGCAAACGAGTAATCAACAGCATGAGCATTAATCTACACAATTGGGATGTGATACAATGACATGTGTTAACAAAGTCAGCAAGCCTGACCGCCTAGTCCCCCTCATACGAACCATTTGTGAGAATAGAGTTAGCTGGAAATTCAACTTTGAAACTAACACAAGAAAGAAATTCCTAAAAAAAACACACTTTTTGCTGTAAAGGATTTTATCATGTCTCACTTCCCAGGAAATCAAGCATGGTTAATTTGAGATTGCAAGAACCATGGGAATGGATTGAGAGGTTTGTGTAAGTTAACTGAAATACGAGCCCTGGAGATATTGCCATAAAGGCGACTGGAGTTGGAGGAATGCAGTGGATGTATTGATCTGACAGGATGGATGGCTGCGTTCTAGGTTTAGATAAAACAGTGATGTTACAATGGTTACTGGGTTGGGTTGTGGATTGGATGGGACTATGTGATTTACACAATATGGTGCTGTTAGAAATATTTATTGATCATGCTCATCCATTAGAACAGATATTTATGACTTATAAAGGGTTGTACAGTTCTATTTACTCTGAAGCTGAATGGATTGAGGTGTTCCATCAGCATTACTTTCAATCCATGAAACTTAAAGGGAAAATGAGGGTTCTTTCACAGATATATGTAGGTGAAGGATTTTTGTGTGAAAATATATTCCATAAATTGTGTTGGCTATAGCATGTTGCATACTTTTATAAGTGAGATAGATGGAAGCTTATATTTGTGGGGGTTAGTTAAAGTGCATAAATAAGAGGCCAGCCCCTGAATATTTGTGACCAGCAAAGGGTTATACTTCAACCATGGATGAATAATATATCTATTTGTAGACATGTACAAGTGTTTTGTTTTGTTTTGTTTGTTAAAGCAAGATTGGGGAAAATACTTCAACAAGAAAAAATGAGATTACTGGAAGTAGGGAGTAAACTTCATGTTCTGGATTTGTGGTTGAACTTGAACTTGGCCATGATCGAACTAAACATTTGAAGGGCCCTAAGTGTTGATTTACCTAACTGTCGGCTATATTCAGCTATGTGGTGTTCCAGTATGAAGCAGGAAAACTGGTACATAAAGGGTGGGTTCATGGGGACCTTAGACCATATTCGGAAATCTGGACATGAACTGTCACAAGTCTAAAACATTTTAGAAATACGCACTTTAATGAAAACTTTGAATGTGTGATGCAACTACGTGGAACAACTCATCTGACTGGGGCATGGCATCACATGCGATCAAAGTCAAGACATGGAGTCTGACCAGACAATGTCAATTTGAATCATTTGCTACGAGCACAGGTTATACAGGACCAATTCTATCCCAGAATCCTCACAAAAATCCTTTTGCTTTGAAATAATGGTTGCCAGTCCACCATTGTCAACCCAGAGACAAACTGTGGTTCAGTGGAATCGGTGTTACAAACCATTTACCAAAAAGACTATTTTCCATGCTGACACCTATAGATGTCAACATTTTGTGTTTGTCTTAAAGCCGCAATAAAATCCTTTCCAAGGGGGTTTTCTGTTCTAATGGCAACTTTACCCTAGAAAAAGACCAGTTTTACTTCCTGTGTTCAACATTGCAGATGTGACATGAGGACTTACTCAACAACATCATTTGAGTGTCTAATGGGATGTCACTCGTACACTTTCCTCACTTAGCAATGTTCCAGCTATATGACAGTGCTTTGTAAATAACCGAATCTGGACAAGAACTATCATGTGAGTGATATGAACATTGCACATGGTCATGGAACAATGTCGCCCAATCAACCATTCTGACTACCCAGTCCACAAATTTATCATTGGGGACATATTTTGAACCAAGATATGGAGAGACATACTTTGATGCTGAACATGAACACCATTTGCTCACGTCTACAGATGAAAGTCAGAGAAACAGTGTTTAAGCAGTTAAAATTGTTCATGTTCAAATTTGGGATATTTTCTTTGTTAATCTGGGGATACTTTTCTCTTGTGCAGAAGGTGTTTCATAAACACAGGCGGGCCAACATACAATTTAGAGGGTTTGAGCATTGGTGATGGCGCAGGTGTTTGAAAACTGGGGGTCTAATAATATTAAACCATTGAAAGAACGTCTATGATGGTTACATTTCACTACAGGCAATTCTTCAGGATGGTTTTCGTGTATACTTGAACATTGCTTAATTATGACTGGTCCTCCAGTTTGTTCAAGAATGCCCGTATATAACAATCGCATCAATTTGTTAACTGATTCTCAACTATATTATTTATTAATGTGAAAGCATGGTCAAATTTTTGAAGCAGCTTGAAGATATTCCTTTGTGTTTCTACAAATGATCAATAAAGTGCTTTATTTATTGTATTTATTAGTTTGTCTTTCCTTATCTGGAACCTTGCTTTCCGATAGTCTGACCAGCAATAACCAACCAGTGAAGGTTCAAATTGATAATTAAAGTGGACAAGTGGAGAGTTTAATTCTGGACACTGCAAAGATCATAAAGTTTAACTGTGTTCATATTAAATAAAGCATCATTTGTTGATAGCTATAACAAAACCATGACCAGTCATTAATTTTGAGATAATTCACCTTAACATGACAAGGTGAAATTGAGTTTAGCATCTCATTCAAGATTTTTGTACCCAAATAATGTCCATGAACAAGTGTGGATGCATGTACTTGTCATGCCTAATGTTGGTTTTATATTGCCCACCCAACTATCTTATGCAGTAATGGTGAAGAACTCCACCTGGCAGGGTAGCAAAGACCTACTTCCAATGTCTTTTGTAATGACATGGATATCCTCAAGAACATGTGTGATCCTTTTACTGTATCTCTGATTTGAAAGTAAAGCAGCATTTGTTGCTTATCACCAATTGATCAAGTTGTCACAATAAAATAACACACTCTAGACTGGAAGCATTTTTATTCACACAATCCTAAGTTGATGAAAACTGAATCCCTTAATACATGAATATCCATGATGTTGCCAAAAGAATCCAGTAAAGGGAAACAACTGGACATGTGAACAACTTCCAGCCCTTGACGACAACAACAGAGTCAATGTGTCACAAGTGACAGGCATTTACATCTTCAGCTTGGTACGTCTCCAATGACGCCTCTTGGCGTTGTACCTGAAATAAAGTTAAATGCCTCGCTTTATGCTATATCTATACAGTAGGAATATCTATGGACTGTAACATTTGAATAAAACAGCCATGAATAACAGCATAGTATCTTCCTTTAGCAGCACGTGGTATTTCACAGAAAATTCTGTGAAAATAGTATTCTTCAAACTGACTTTCCCTTAGGTTTCTGTATACTGCCCCTCACAAACATGATCACAAGTGTGTGTGTGTGTGTGTGTGTGTGTGTGTTCCTACATCTTTCTACAATCCATATTCAATGCTTAAAAACACTAATCTTCCTAATCAATGTGATTACTGAAAGCTTAATTCAGAAAAGAAAATCAAAGAACATGAAAGACTAGCAAGCTGGATGTACTGCATAGTTTCTACCATCTCCATTCTACAGACATTTCTGGAAAACCAACATCCAAAGAACATCACTGCCTCACAAACTTACAAACAGGTGAACGTTGTGCACTGACACTGTTTTGAAAGATCACAACACAACTTGTTTAAAATATTCTCAACTGTTTCTACAACATCTATTACTTTCTCAGAACTTAGCCTGATATCCTTAATACCAGAACAGGTTGCAGGTGTCTAACACTACTAGTATGAAATTAATTTACCTTATTGTGTTGCCAGTCTTCATTCTGACCCACTGGGGGGATTGGCCTATTCTGTTTCATTTTCTTGGCCAGCTTCATCTTAATCCGGAAACTCTTGTGGGCTCCCTGTAAACATAAAAAATTTGATTCGGTAACAAGGTAACATGGCAAGGTCTTTAGTTTTAGATGCAAAACATAACTTTTTAAAAAGCAATAAATTCAGCATACAAGATATGCAATTGTAATGGTCAAAGGGTTTTATTGGAAGGTGCCAAGACCAATTTAACTATAAAATGCCTTGAACAGGTTCGGTACAACCCCCGAATGGGTACTTGAGCCCGTTCGGGAACTAACATCACGATCGGGATAATAAAATCGCCCCCAAAGCGATTAAAGTATGGAAACGTATTTCAGCAATAAATCATGGTTTTAATGTATGTTAATTTCAGGTGAACATGAGGTCACAACTCCATATGTGTAATATCATTATGCTATTTGACTTCGCATGTAATTAATATTAACATAAGTATCATCGCTTCATCATCTAGTTGTCTGTAAACTATCATATTTTCGTTTACAAAGCAAACATATTTTCGTCCCCTTGAATTACTAACCTTTCAAGTGCAATGTACAGTGGCATGTTCAATGACATGTATGGATTCATAACAAAAAATTCTACTCATGATCCTTTTATTATTTGAATCTTAATTCTGGTTCAGATGAAGCGTGAAATCATTATGTCGCAACTGCGCCTCCATAGTTTTTTGCTGGTGTGCCACTCCAGTTTAGATTATTGCCCTTTGTAGGCAAACAGGGGGAACTTGGCAGTTACTTCCGGATAAGACTGAAAGTGTGGTGAGTGACAAGTGCATTTGAGCTAAAATTACAGCATAAAATGACATACTTAATATATTTTGAGAGCATTATGTGTGTAAGTTGTGCAAGGGGTCCTCTGTTTTGAGGGGGTAGCGCCCAAAATGCGGCATCATTTGGAAACTTGCGTGTAACCATAGAGGTTTCGTTGACATTTTTAACAACTCACCATAATGCGCAGATGTGAATTGCCGCTTGGGTGGATAAAAACATGGTTTTTCTGCGCTGCGGTTTGAGGGCGATTTTATTATCCCGATCGTGATGTTAGTTCCGAACCTGTTGAATACTTAATTCAATGGGTGCTACAGCTCTAGAATGGGAACATGTAAGACTTCTGCCCGTATTCCCCCCTAATTTTTCACTTTCATGATGAGGAATAATTTCTTTGAGTGGCATTTGTAGAAGTTGTTCTAATAGAATTAAAGTATGTTCTAATACAATTAAAGAAACATGTTAAAACTCATCCTTATCGGACGAGGAATATATATCCAGGTGATATGATTTGACTGGAATGAAATTTAAGGGGGAATACAGGCGGAAGTCTTTCCTTATATTTATAGGCAGGTTCGCTGCCAAAGCAAAGCAATGTGGTGATGATATAATGGAACTCATTGGAACTAAGCCCAAGTCTGTTGCCTTACATTATGTTTGCATGACTTCTTGCAAATTTTTAAATTTAAGTACACAGCCGGGGGGGGCTCACTTAGTAAAGAAGACAAACTACATGTGTGAATGACTAACAATAAGTTATATTCCTGTGTTGATGAGTCAGTGGCTTATATTCTTGTGTTGACAAGTCAGTGCTTATGTACTGGTACAGACATAACTTGCAAAATAACAAATATTGGTTAAATATCGCCATTTGTTACATTTATGACCGCATGCACTGATACTCAGAAATATCTTCGTGAGGTGCAAGTTGCTCGTTACAAATCAGCGCATGGGTATTAACATAAAATATTCTAGACATGTATAATATCGACACTGCTCATCTGGATAAATACCATAAACAACATGGTTACAATACTTTTATGTCAATAAACAGAGCGCCTGAAAAAATAACTAATGCAAGTGTTGTTGTAATAGTGTTCCAGTTTTCGTGTACATAACACGTTTACTGACATCAATCCTTCATTAATACGAAGCATCAGAATATAATCTCTACAAAATCGCAATTAAATACAATTCACAATGTCATTAAATATCATATTTATCTGTTGTTTTCCCACAGACTCCATAAATAAAGGAATTATTTCACACACCATTTTGTGCACCTTGCCAATATGGCCGATATGGTGTAAAGAGATCGGTTGAAGCTACGCAGTGAATAATGTGATACACCAAATAGTTTCGGCTAGAGTCCAAATTCAGATATCTATCGAATTATAAATCCAACACACAATTATTCATATATATTCAAGATGATATTTTGGTATTGAGTATTTTCTTAATGTGAGTGCGGCATTAGATGGCAACGTGCGTAGGGATTTTAGTTTCATTGAAATTAATATGTTTTAAAAAACATCCTAATATCTAGCATGGTCATATTCAACACAAATTGATACTATTGTCATTTCATTTTTAAACTGTTTATCAACTGTCTATGTACAGGTTATCATCACTATCTGCGAACTATTTTGTTATGTGAATGTCGCATGGCGTCGTTTGATGTTGTTCGGTTATGGAGTTGGGTAATGGAAACTATAGTGGCCGATCTGTCACGAAACTGACACGAGAAGACCACGTTCGTGCAAGCATGCAATCAAAACACACAGTATAGCAAGAATAACTGCTTTTGCTTCGAACACAATCATTGTCATTTTCGATCTGTAGTTTTAGCATACGAAAAAAATATTTAAACTTTCAGTGAAACCTCAGGAAGACAATATCTGCAGATCGACACACTACAAATAAGATGGTGTTTTTTCCCGTGCTATTATAAGTCGAATAGATTATGTAAATGACATAAAAACTGTTGTATGAGTTACACCTATGTTTCTGAAACACATCAAGTCCTTTAAGGTTATCTCATAGGGTCGGAATGATATGTCTATATTGTACGACCCTTGTAGTAGGCACCTGTTTGTTTTTGAATGTAGGGAATCATGCATTCTTAAATTGATAATCTTTGTTCATAAATACACAATGTTGATGATGTACTAAGTGTAGCAAAGGAGTACTCGCAATTGAAGTTTCATGCATCAAATATTGGTGTGTGACTAAGCCAATAATCAGTAAGCAAACTTTCTTTCAGTATAGTAAGCTGAGATAATAAAATATCTCCATATAAGTAAAACGTCTAAAAGACACAAAATGTGTGCACAGCAGGAAGGGAATTTGGGAATTGAACCAGCTGTGGTTATTTTATCACTTTTAGTTAAATGTATATACCTACTACCAGTACAATAGAAAGTCTAATAATTAGAGTATTTGCAGACACACTGTGCCAAGAGAATGAATAGTGCCTTAAGTCTTTTGTAATTATCTTAAAGCAGTCATAAGAGGGCACATCATATGTAAGCCTGAGTTCTGAGTAGAATATTGCATACAATATCTATTGTTCTTTTTAGGGAGCAAATGAAAAACAAATGAATTGTGAAGCCTAAATAAACTTCACTTTAGTCAGCCATTGTTAACATAAGATATCAGATGTCATCAATTTGTGACATCCTGGACAATACATGATGTCATAATGCCCTCAACAGTGGAATAGTGTGATGTCTCATAGCTTCATCTGTCAAGTCAATACTGAAATTGTTCAACTACAAATGTGCTAATATATGTGTCAAAAAGTTATGAAACTCATTCTTTCTACCCTTTCAAATAACGTGTGACAATATTTCATATGTCACTTTTCTAGATTCCTGATATTGATGTTTGATGAAGATACACCTACAGGACCATATCAACCACAGTATTTTCCAAAAACAATTCTTACTCATCTGAGTCATAAGTACCAGTGCAAACTAGATTTCATTTAATGGAGTGACGTTGCATCTTGTCTTGGAAGTGGTGAGTCTGTATCAAGATTATCAATTACAGTCCCCAGTACGGAAGATGTTTCCAACACGACAAGACACAGAATATGAATTTGACTTGGTAAGAATGATTTTTCTATGGATAAATGATAATATGTGAATATACCATTTTAGAGTTGATGTTTCTTCTCTGGTTTCCCACAGGTATTTCGGGTTATGAGTGATCACAAGCAACTCGACCCATGAAGATCTGGGTTAGAATTAGTCTTCAGTAACCCATGCTTGTCGTAAGAGGCAACTAATGGGATCGGGTGGTCAGGCTCGCTGACTAGTTTGACACATGTCATCGTATCTCAACTGCATAGGTTGATGCTCATGCTGTTGGTCACTGGATTGTCTGGTCCAGACTCGATTATTTACAGACGGTCGTCATAATGCTGGAATATTGCTGAGTGCAGCGTTAAACAACAATATACACAAGCAACTCATAACAGTTGACTTGGTTGGTCGTTGATTCCATGTCATCATATCTTTGTCATTGCCTTTAATATAAATCACTGTATTGTCTGGTCCAGAATGTATTATTTACAAGTTACCATATAACTGGAATATTGCAGCAATATCGTAGCATTACACTATGCAGTGATTTTGATTGACAATTATCTTTAGGACAACTTCCTGTAGGGCTGTCTAAAAAAGATTGATCAAGAAATATCTTCAATATTAAAAATTATTAAAGATTATCTGTAAGAAAATAGTGTCACTGATAATACCGTCCAAAAACTTTTGTGATAGAATACAATTTTAATTTACTGAAACAATACACAAAGTTAGGCTTTTAATCATGGGCTGCTTCTAAATTATGTTCAGGATGCTGTTTTGTTAGAACCCATGCATAAACATGTCATCGCTCACCAGTGGTGTGGAATATATGTATTTCTTTCAGACATTTATTGGCATTATTGCTCAAAGTTACTCCTCCAATATTTATAGATAATTGATCGATATCTAGTTAACAAATATCAATCTCTATGATCTATTTTGATAGTCAGCCCTAGCTTCCTGATTATGACAGGTCATGCTATATGTTAAAAATTATCATTGATATAAAAGGAAATTTTCAATAAGTCAACACTAAAAGAGAAAAAAAGAGCATGTTATTGAATAGATAATGATTCATACATATCATAAAATATCTTAATCGGAGTATTGCACAAAAAATTAGTGTCTTTCAATTTGTTATATGTTATAATTATTCTATGATATTTGTATAGCACCAATATCCAGCTCAGCTGCTCAAAGGCGCTTTGTTTTTCCCTCAATCATACGATGTCAATCTCAACGGCACATCATATTTTTCAATCTCAACTCCCTGGGGATCATACAACTCTTGCAGCCACTAGGCGCACCAAGTTAATGTAGCTTTCCCATCCTTACGAGGTACCCATTCACAGCTGGGTGGACTGGGACACACAGTCACAGTACTTTGTCCAAGTTTTACTGCATGTTGCCGTACCCGCAACTAGGTGTTTGCACGTATTCATGTGGCCACCATCTGGTCATTTACCAAATGATTCGTGGATGTGACAAAACTGACAGAGTCTGCACACAATGTTGACTCCAAGGTTTTTACACCAGGTCACAGGTGGGCTCGATCACAGCACCTTAAGCTCGCTGGATCACTGGCCTGGCGCCTTAGATCGCTCGCCCACCGCATCCATGGTCTTCATGGTTTCATATAATGGAGTAATTTCATTTAACTTTGCGTCATGTCAAAAACATGAGTAAAAGTAGGATTATGTCATATGCCGAAGGTTTCGGTGTTAGGGTAATGAAGCTCTGTTTTGTTCATTTCTTTTCTGTCCTGACTAGACTATTGAATAAATATTGATTTCAGAAGGCACTTAAACACTTTTTTCCATCTAAACTGACACTTCGTCTCTCAGTGTAATATTGACAGAAACAAACAATTCCTTTTTAATTGAAAGGGAGATTCTTGATCAAATCTAGACTTGCTTCATTTGGGGTTTTAGCATTGCAGAAAAGGCAAGGCAGAACGGAATTATAAAATAATGTCGTTCAAAGGCTGTAAGACAGGCTAGTACTCATCAAATACCAGGTAGAAAAGAAGTTTCGTCATGGCTGAAAGACAATTACAGTTTTAACACAGAAGCCTTAAAGAATCTGGCCTATAGACTCATGAAATAGACATCATTATTCAATTAGTTTAAATATTTGATACCTATTTCCACAAAGTAATTACAGATTGCTATTAGCTCATCTTTGACCGAGATGATATGTGATTGACATCAGCTGCTATTGATCTGTTTCAGAACCCCTATGAAAGTTTCATGAAGAGGCACCTCCAGCACTATGGCTACTATACAGGTGAGTGTAATTACGATGTCAATTTCAAGAAATCAATCAAAATGGCATTGTGGGCGCACCTGCCACAGGGCTTGAAGTGGAACATGTTGCATGAGGTTGATTTGTTACTTCATTTCGTGTATTTGGATAAATACAAGAGTGGCTGATTTTGCTGAAACAAAGTGTTAGTCGTTAGTGTCATCAAGTTGATTTGATTGAAATTGGTTCAACTTTCGTAGCATTTCTTATTGTTGCTGTTACAAAAACAACTACTAATAAACAAAAGATGCTAGTGAATCCTTGGTTTAGTGAATGTTGTTGTAAGCAATATTCTAACTATATCATGTTGGGTAATGTCTCTGAAAAAATGATCATACATTACAAAAGCTATATTCTATTTAACAAAGAACCCATTCTTTACCCCAATACGAAAATACTGAGGTTTGATGCCTCGTTCAGGGATTGGGCTAGAGAACTTTGACAATGGGCCCTTTTCAGGATTATTAGCCATTTTCTGAATTTAGAATGGGCCACTGCCCTTGTATCAATGTATGTTTGTATGTAAGTTATGTATGTATGCATACCTGTACTGTTCAGTTAACTTAAAATGTATACGTTCGTATGTGTGTACATACTGTATGTTTATAATGTTTTTATATCATTTGACAATGTACAGAAAGTGAGACTTAAATACACACTCACTCACTCTCTCTCTCTCTTTCTCTCTCTCTCTCTCACAATAGTAAACTTAAAAATTTTAATGGGCCATTTTTTATTCTAATGTGCAAAATGGCCCATGGCCCCTGCCTTTCCCAAACCCTGCTCGTTCCTCATTCATCACCTCTTACGACAAGCCTGGGATGCTGAAGACCTATTCTAACCCGGATCTTCATGGGTGTGATTCATAAACACATGATTACCGTTGTACAATGGGACAGTTCTATCCACCAGATCACAGAGGTGGTCTAGCTACATCTTTTAACACACAGGTGTCTTAACTCATGTTAATTCTATAAAAACATGCTAAAGAACATCGATCTAATAACACATGATAACAAGAAGCTTGTTAATGCAGCAGTAATATCACTGTCAGTTTAATACAATAAAACCTCATTTGGCAGGACCCCCTGAATTCTGGTCAATACGTGTTTAGTATGTCTTTTTAGAATGAAAGGCTGCCATATAACTGGAATATTGTTGAATGTGGCGTTAAATTTCAAACCAACCAGCCAGCCAGTATTTATTTATTCAAGCAGCTCCTGTTTTTCACTACTGTTTTATACTGTTATAAACTGCCTTATGTATATCACAAGAATTAGGGGCAGTGGCATAGCATAGTGGTTAAAGCGTTCGCTCGTCATGCCGAAGGCCCGGGTTCATTTCCCCACATGGGTCCAATGTGTGAAGCCCAGTTTTAGTTTTCCCTGCCATGATATTGCTGGAATATTGCTAAAAGCTGTGTAAAAGACACAAGAACTAGGAAACAAGAACTGGGAAACATTTATATTAGAACTTTTTGAATCATAAGATTATTGATCTTTTCAATGATAAAGTTTTTGTTTTGTTTTAAATAGTTGTGTATTTGGTAGAATGACCAGGTTCTGTTTGTAACCAAAATATTAAATGCAAAATATGAAATTATATGTATCAGTCCCATATGAGCTAGAAAAAAAAACATTTTAATACCCGCAATCAAAAGTTATGTTAACTTGAACAAATCATTTATAACATGGATAATAATTATGAAAAATGTGAAAATTTACTTACCATACTGTGTTGTCCATCCGAACAAACAGAAATTAGAGGGAGCTGTCATCACGTGGGTGTAATCCCCTGCCCTTGTTAGTAACTAACCACACCAACCACGCTAACCCTCCGACATGTAAAACGCATGGCTACTTCACATATCAGTTTATCATAACAAGAGCACACCCAGGGGGATAGGAGGAATTCAGGCAAGGGAATGAGGATATATCAGACTCTTAGTCAATCAAACTCGCTGGAAATCATTGATAAGATTAGCAAAGGACTTATTCAACATTGCATGTGGTCGGCACTGGGTTGGAGGAGGGTCGCGGCCAGATTAGAGCTGATTAGGGACTTAGGTAGCACAGACTAAAGCGGCTATGAGTTACTGGAGTGTGAAATGCCACAATGGCTAGACCTTTGCTAAGTATCTTTGTATCACAGTGATTAGAGGTTGCAGGATTACGAGTGAGGAGCTAATGTATTGCTTATTGGCTGCAAGTCACCTGTGGAAATTGGTGGTGTTTGTTTGTGAAATGTTATATTTTTTATAACATTGGATGTGTATTTTCGGTGTTTGATCATGGAGGATTACCAGGATGTGGACTTGTCATTTAGACCAAATGGTACGGATATATCTCCACGTAAGATATATTTTCTTGTTTTGTATTTCTGTTGGGTAGATTCCTGAAGGATTTGACCTTTTTTTCATTGATAATTGTAAGGTTTGTATTTCTAAAGAGGATCTGTTTGTATTTAATTTCCTCATTCAAATACAGTTTTTAATGACATTCATTACTGAGACGATTATTGTCATTGTTTTAATAGATACAAATTAGTCATATTTGTATGTAATTAACTATAATGACCATTTTACCCAAAGGTTAATGAATGAATCTGCTCATTTCAGTTTATTAATGACTGGAAACTGTTATTTATGATCATATGGTCAACATGTCTTTACAGATTAAAATATCTTGTAATTGTACAGAGTACACGTTTGAACAAGACAAACCAGGGTAGTTACTGTACTGCTGCAGTTTGATGCCATTCTAATGTGAATGAAGGTCCAAAGTGAGACACAACTCACACTTTGGTTCCTTATCAACATGATCTTACTGACAGAGGAACAGATAATCTGCGTATCTGCGTAATTAGGCTAATATTTACATGAAAATTCAATTCCTATTTAGTCTATTGCGTACAAGTATGCTTGAATTTTTCTAAATACTCAGTAAATTTGACCTTCATGCGTACACGTACCGGTGGATAGATAAAATAACTGAGGTGTATTGAGAGGTTCTATTTCAACATATGAACTTGGCAACTTGCAGTCTTTCTTATCGTTTACAGATCAAATGTAAATAACAAACAGGTAAACCAACATTTAAACTCTATTATATTTTTACATTTAATGGAAAATGGCAAAATACCCAATTGAGTTTGAGTGAGGTGGGTACAATTTATTTGGTTACTCAAAGAAAAATTAGATACTGTCAATAGCAGGTATGGGATCCAGAAGATGCAATGACATACTGAAACCTAGGATCCATGCTTACAATAAGCTTCTAAAGGTATTTAAACCAAATTTGACCCCACATGATAGTTTTCTGTTGAATCAATGATTTGATCTTTAGCAAAGTGTGAATAGTATATATGTTATGGTTCTGAGTACAGCAATCTTAAAATTAGGTTGTATAGTTAGGGATTCTTTCTTCCTTTTCTGTACAAGTTATAGTATGTAAGGTATCCTGTTGATCAATTAATTACAAATAATTACTGTTTGTTAGCGTATGAAGTTCGGATATATTGTGAATTAGAATCTGTGCTGATTTTTCCTTAAACCTTAGAGATAATCACAAAACTTGTTATATCTTTTCATAAAAAATACCTGTTCTCATTAAAATGTTGCAATAGATATCCGTTGAACACTGTGTTACGATATACCTGTATACTGGTGAAACTGTGCTGTCCTACATTTCACTATAAGTAAAAAGAACAGAAAAATTGCTAATGGAATTGTGTACTGTTGACATTTTGATTGAACAATATACAGAGCCCATGTTCACCAGACCACTAGTAAAATCTAATTCTTCACAAAATGTTGTTCACAATATACTTTTGACTTCAAGTGTATATCATTCAGAAGTTTTCTATCGGTCTGAGGCTTAACCCATTAGTTCAAAGCCAGAGTTTTGTAAAGTTATGTTTGTTCTAGAGCATTAAGAATATTAGCCTCACTAAAATGAAAATCTGACTTTATAGCTCAACAGTCTCTAAGATGTCTTATATCTCCGTTCAAAACCATTCATGTAAACACTTTGAAGAAAAAGAATATATGTAGGGTATTCATTAATTGCTTTTTATGATTCCATTTAACTTGCCCAGATAACGAAACCAACAGATATACAGAGTCAACTTCAAAGACTACTGATAGGGTGAGATAAGTTCTCTGAGTAAATGTTCGGTCCCAAGTTGACTGAGGGCATTGTGTCCATTCAATCTGCTGCATTATTAAAGGCTGGTATTCAATGCCCCTTGCCAATATACCCTGATACTCTGATAGTATAGGGAAACTAAGTATTGTTTATACCAGTCCCACAGTTAAGTGCCATGAGAGCTGATTCTGCAAGCTACGGCACTGTCTCGTATAGGTGTAACACTTACAACAAGCTAAAGATAATGACAAGACATCAGGCAATCTGTCAATTATAAGCTTAGGTGTGCATACAATAGTTGCAGCTTGTGTTTAACACTGGAACAGTATAATGACAGTTTGTGTTAGAAGATAGTTTATCTAAACATATTCATTATAAATATTGTTGATTTCAGGTTTATATTACCCGTGAAGATCCAGGTTAGAATTGATCTTCAGCAACCCAATATTGCTTGTCATCAGAGGCAACTTATCGGGTGGTCAGACTCGCTGACTTGGTCATCATGTTGATCACTGGATTGTCTGGTCCAGACTGGATTATTTACAGACCGCTGCCATATAGTTGGAATACTGCTGAGTGTGGCGTTAAACACCAACCAACCATCAGGTTTATATTTCCTTTTGGTAGAATTAAACATACTAGGGCAGATTAAATAAATTTTTGGCTTTTTTATCTGTCAAGGGTGTGAAGCAGCCAGCAACTGGTTGTCTAAGCCAAATCAGTTAAGTTTCTCTTTTACATATATCCTTGGTGCATAGCTTGGTAACAGGAATCATATATTATTATAAAAGATGACAGCCTGAATAGATTATCTAAAAAGCAAAAACAGAAAAAAATGGAATAATAACTTCAAGGTATTTTGAAATCAGTGGCTTGTGCAGTTTCTTATATTTCCATATTGTCAAAGGGTAACCATGTCCATGATGATATGAAATTGAATTTGTTAGTCAGCTGAAGGTAAATACCTCCCCAAAATATGATTTTAATCCCTGTTTTGTTTAAGTATGTTTTTCTTATTTTCTCAGTCTGTATTTAACAATGCATTACCAATTAAAGGGTATTATTACATTAGGCCAGACCAATTTTATTTCTTGTTTTACGGATCTACCGGTTATATTTTTTCAGGAATAACCAAAAATTATTTTATTTTTCCCCGCTTAAAAAATAAAGATTTAATATTTTTATTGGCCAAAAATGTAAATGTGGAAGAAAATGTGTTTAGATTGTGTTTTTTTCCCATATAGACTTCATAAATTGCCAAAAGTAAAGATTTTTTTATATTTTTCCCCGCTTAAAAAATAAAGATTTAATATTTTTATTGGCCAAAAATGTAAATGTGGAAGAAAATGTGTTTAGATTGTGTTTTTTTCCCATATAGACTTCATAAATTGCCAAAAGTAAAGTACTTTTAGTATTTAAAAGGTATATTACTTTGACTGGTGATTTCTATTTTTATTGTAAAATCCGTAAAACAAGAAATGAAATTGGTCTGGCCTTAGCATTATTTGAAATTATATATGTGCAAAGGAGAATATATAACCTTAAGGTCCAGAAGAAAGGTTTTTGAGGTCACTAATCTAAATATTATTTTTCAAGGACCACAGGACTTAGCTTTGATTCTAAAACTCCTCTCTCTCCTGACGTATGTAAATATGGTAATCTCATTAAAATTATAAATCAGGTCATACATGTCTTATATTAAATTCATGCATGACAATTATGTGGTTTTTGTAAAACAAATTGTTAAATTGATTGATTTCAAAAATTCAAATATGTTCAGAAACATTTTTACAAATACTGATAATTAGTCACTTTTTTGTTTTAACTCATAACCAGTGATTGATAGATTTGGGTCACTAGTTATGATGATATTGACAACACGTCTATTTTAGGGATCATGAAATAAGTAACATGCTAAGCAAACATTACACACAACACTGCACTTCCATTCACCACTTTATAGTGAGACACTAGGATCAATTGGCAGGTGTCAGTTAATAATTATTATCCTACTGACAGCACACCTGTTTCAATAAGCGTGAAATATGCGACATTTGAAACAGGAAGATGATTTGTCTCCAACAGGTAACTGACACAATAAATTGCAATGTCTGTCAGGTAATCATTGTACTTGACACTGGAGTAACTCCGTAGTTTATCGGGTGTTGTTGATATTGGAGACGTCATGACTACACCGTGACAAGCAGTAACTTTTGTGTCAACTTCATTAACTGTGTTAATAACTGGATGACAGTGAGTCATGATCATTCTAAATGGTCCTAGTCATATTTGATTTGATCCTGCACAACTAACTGAATTGGGTTTAAAGCCGTTTGGAACAGTGTTCCAGTTATGTTGGAGTATGTGAGCTTAAAGGCACAATGTCACACCACATTTCTCTAAAAATGCATAATACATTTCTCTCAATAATACTAACTATCAGCCCTCATGGAAGCTACCATATAATTTATTCCAAAAAGAAATTACTTATTTAGATTACAAAATGAAATTAAAAAGTTTGAATGAATTATTGCAACATTACATTAAATCGACTCTTGTACCCTCTTCTGGTCGAACATTATTTCAAGAGAACCATATACAGTTATGTCCCTTGGAACACTCTTTACGAATATCCTGTAATGCGACTTGTGATTGAGGCTAGTTCGGCAAACACACACAAGACCGTTTGCGACAGTTAACAATGTACAGAGCAATCATTTACATTCCATATATGGCAAGTGTTATCCGTTATGAAGCTGTTCACCTCGAAGTTTGAATTATCTTTCGGGGTGGTGGGGTAGCCTTGTGGTTAAAGCGTTCTCTCGTCACACCGAAGACCCGGGTTCGATTCCCCACATGGGTACAATGTGTGACGCCCATTTCTGGTGTGCCCCACCATAATATTGCTGGAATAATGCTAAAAGCAGTGTAAAACCATACTCACTCACTCAATTATAATTCAGGATAGTCGTAAGGAATAATAAGTCTTTTATTGCATCAATAGGAAGCTAAAGTGCATGCATATGCCCCCAATATATAAAATATAGACCAAATTATTAAAATTATAAAATATGTGAAATTCTGCCTTGAATGTGAGAGAAAAGCCCAAAGTGGGCAGTTGTCAGATTTTGGTGTTCGGTAAATAAAAGTACCAGAAAAAAGTCGTAAATTTGCCTAGGTAAAAAAGTCACCTTTCCATTTTCTAACAAGAAATGTATAGAAAAACAATGCTTTGTTAGTTTATATTTCTTCATTGTCACACATACAACTAATGTAAAGGTCTTATGACATAATGACATAATGACATACTGAAATGTTGATATAAAAATCATACGAAATGACTGCAGTTAACATTATAAGTTATAAGTTACATAATGCATCACATGATGACATGAGATAGTCTAGGCCTACTACTAAAGGACTTTTTTACCAAGGAATTTTTCCCCTATAATCTCAGATTTTTACCGTTTTTCTGAAACCCAAGAGAATGGGTATAGTGTGACAAACCAAGTAAACACAATCAGGGCAAATTTGAATTGCAGCTCTTTAGACATGTAGGCCACCACGCCCCATCACTTGTGTACAAAATAACTGCCTGCCTGCAATCCCAGTACTAGTAACATTAGGTAGAATGTATTTGACCTGCAGTCTGTCTAGTAGTAAATTTCAATGCCACACTGACTTTGACAATGTCAGTAATTTAATCATTGATTTGTGACTTTCTTATCTGAAAGCAAGAAGTACCTTTGTGATTATAAAGCTGTAAATGTTCAAGGCAAAGAGTAAAGTAAATCTCAGAAAAAATGATAATGTTTTAATACTCTTGCATGCAGGACATGCAACTTTTAAGAGGGGCTTGTTACATCAATAAGTCACCAACTCACCTGGCTTGTTTGAACCAGTGAAAATCTGGGTTAGAATTGATCTTCAGCAACCCATGCTTGTCCTAAGAAGCAACTAATGGGATCGGGTGGTCAGGCTCGCTGATTTGGTTGACACGTCATCGGTTCCCAATTGCGTAGACTGATGCTCATGCTGTTGATGACTGGATTGTCTGGTTCAGACTCGATTATTTACAGACTGCTGCCGTGTAGCTGAAATATTGCTGCGTGCAGGGTAAAACTAAACTCACTTACTCACTCACTCCGTGTATTTACCAAAAATAGAAATGGATACTGTTTTGGCAATTGGGGAGAGGAAAACGATGTGAGACAGATGCGTGGAGGTGAGGCTGGCAGGGTGAAAATCAAATAATTATTTCATAATGGCATTAAACCTTTTCATGTAATTAATCTGCATCTATCAATGTGTCATTTTCTTTTGCTTGTATAATTAGTATGTTTTCTTTAGTGCAAGTTTTTCGTTTAGTGCAATAGTTCTGAATCATTATGGTTGAAACACAAGAACTTTTAACAAATCATAAAACTTTATGGATAACAACTGACTCTGTGCAATATACAAAAATTGTTATCAATAAAGTCATATGCCTCGTTATTCACTCACTATTTTCAAGAATGCAGATCAAACAATTGCACGGACACTTGTTTGTAAATAAAATGACTTTCATAGTTATTTTCCTACAATAACATCACATTTATATCTGACAGTTACAAAGGTATAGGTACCCATATTCAAATACTTTTCTTGAATGTGGATCAAACAATTGCAAGGTTCTTGTACAAAAATCAAGTACCCATAATCAAATATGGTACATGTACTATGGCAGCAAATGTCAAGACTCCAGAACACATCCTCCTTTTGAAAATACCATTAACAGCATCTTTCACAGCAACATCAATATTTTCACCAGGTTTGAAATATGTCTATTTGTGTTGGCAGGTCGCAACCAGAATTATCGCAATGCCTTCCAGTCATACCAGGAGTGGGACAAAACATACGACTACACCATCAGCAGTGACTCTGACGATGACACTGATGACACTGATGACCAGAAAGATGCTCAAGGTAGGAATGTGCACCATGAGTTAAATCTATAGAGTACACAGCTCTTCTTAGACTTGAGGTGTCATGTATAAGTAGATTCTTTAGAGACCAGTTTGTTTTTCCTATTTTTTACTGGTGTTGCACTGGTAGAAGCAGTGTTTTGCCATGTCAGGAAGTTAATACACAGAACTATTTTCCTCTGCATTCTGTGATCAGGCTAAAGAACAAAATGGCTCATTGTTAAGTGATATAGATATACATCTACCACAAGTTCTGATTATCTTTAATCAATTTACAAAGTCAGAATTGAGTTGAGCTGTGTGAAGACTCAGAGACAGAAAGAGAGAGAGAGAGTGTATTTTTTCATGATAGTGCATAGGTTTGTTGACAAGAATGCTTTCATTGGCTCACCCAGACGGACTGAAATCAATACGACTGGTTTCATTTTCGAACCAAATGTTGTGTTATTGTTATAGTGTGAGGTAAATGTTAATGAAAACTGGAAAAGAAATAGTTGCAAATATCTTAGTTCAGTTCACCTCAGTTTCTTTACTGACTGATCTGAACTAATTTTCTGTGATACATCTTTATCTACAGTCAGGCTCGAAGTCTGTCTCACAGTCCCAGAACCACATTATTTTCCCTACTGCCTATCCCTCCCTGCAATGCTTAAGCCCTAAATGAAGCAAGTCTAGATTTCCCCAGGTTCAGGCATGATGGGTTCAGGCCTGAATCTCCCAACTCACTGGGACTCCTTTTCAATTAAATGTTGTTTTTTTATACTATCAAAAATATATTCAGGGATTAAGCATTAGTCTATCAGGCTTGCTGAGCAGGATTAGAAAGGATCACGAGTTCATTGTTCATACAGCACATGAAGGGAGACAACTCTTAATGGCTAGACATGCATGCTGCCAAACATGGGCATGGCATGGGAACAAGCATGACAAGTTCAGGTATTGATGGGGGGGAAGATAATGCAGGACAAGACATGAGGGGGTGGAGGCAGGGAAGGGTTTTCAGCTATTGACTTTGGACACAGAAAACATATTCTTTCCCTGATTTGTTTCCTTGTCTACCAGAATGAAAAATGTGTAAAAATTGAATCCCTTCTTAAAATGACTAGTTCTTAGTAAATTTTGCACTCCATTGTATTTTAATATCTTTTTATTATATAGTATTTTCAACTTAATAACAACCCTGCTGAAGGTGCTTGAATACGGTGCCTCAATATGAAATTTTGTATATCACACTGTACCGGTGTCCAGTTGACTTTCCAATGTTAATTATGTTGTTTATTTAAAAAATCAGCAGGAAAACGGTCGATATAGTGGAAAGATTATCAGGGCAAGTGACATTACATGTGCCACTGTACCGGAGTACACTATCAATTTTAAAGTTATTTCCACCCCTGCATTATAATGTTTATCTGTACTTTTAAAGTGAAAGTGCCCATTGTTGTCCAAAGTGTCCATTGTTGTCATCAGGCAGTCATTCTTACTCACTAAATACCTTCTTAACAAAAAGACTGTCGCCATGTCAGAATTAACACCCATTTAATCATCCAATATTTACACAGCTGCATGTTTACCAGTCTGTGACTGCAGCCAACAGTTTGATATCAAAGATGGTAGTAACATTTTGTTTCATCTAGTAAGCTCAGCTTATAATAGTGTGCAACAATAGTCTACTATGATGACAAATGTCAAGGTCAGACAAGTAGTATCAGAAATGTTGACACAGATTTGTCAGTAGATTCTACTATTGTTATGAACAACCTTTATATGTTTAAATACATATCAGCAGGTTAATTTTTTAGTGCGTAACTACATTCAAACACCAAATGAGGACACTTGAAGGAACACATGATCCCTGGACATAAAACACTGAGTGTATATAATATAAAATACACCTACAAACCAGGCCCATAGCTTGGTATTAAATGTTGCTGTGAAATGCATCACTGATCAATGTGTGTTGTATATAAATAGATGCAAAGACCATGCTCTTAACTAAGTACAGTGCTATGTAAAACTGGTCATACAAACATGTCGACAGATTACTCATAGGCTCTTAAGCCAACCGTCAAAGGACACAGCTACCCTAGCTAGCAGAAAATTCAGATTAATATCTACAAAGATCTCATTACATGAATGTAAGACTAAAGCTGGAAAATAATCCATATGTTGGAAATAGTTGTACCATAAGGTTGACGGATCTTTGGGTTTACTGACATTAGACAGGCAGTATGGAAATGGACCCGTATACTCAAAATATTTCCCAATTTTGTTTGGATCCTGATTATTTTAATTTGTTGGAGTTGAGGTTGCAGAATTCAGGTGAGAAGATTTGTGTATAATGTTCAGAATGGTTCTGATTATGTTATGTTTGATTTTTATTGTGTATTAAAATAAGTATAAGTAGCTGATCACCAAAACGAAATCCCATGAAAATATGCATGATTTTGAAGGATATTGTTGGAATGTGTTAGCAGTTATTACACAAAATCAAATGTTTAGATTTGATACCTTTGTTATGTATTTTTGCAGATATAGGTCTACAGGTGATTTGGTTTTGACTTTCTGTTGTATGATCAGGGAGGTATTTTGGGTTATTAGTATTAAAATGGTAAACATTGAACTTATTTCAGCATCTTGAAAAAGTGATAAATTGTTGAACAGTTTAAAAGGGTGATACAATTTTATACATCTAAGAAACGGTTAACACTATGGGTATTATAGTAAGGTCCTATTTCTGATGTAGCAAACAAACTTTTGATCTGAACTTATAATAGTCGGAGAGTAAGAGAATAATCAACAGTTTTGATTTTGTTATTTAAATTAACTGTTAACTGACTCCTTTAAAGAAAAAATGCTGATAATTTAATCAAACACAAAAAAATCTAATGCCTCACACAGTGATGGTAGCAGATGGTTGCCATGCATTATAAGTGGATGTCTTTCTATAGTTTTTCAATAGATTTTTTGCTCATTATTTACATTGTAAACCTACCTTACATCAGGCCTCAGTCAGTGTCCCAGCTCACAACCCAACCCAGACAAATGAGAGTCACAGTGAGAACCATGGACAGATTTCATTGATTAGAAGCGTTTAGCGGCTGTCAAAACCTACCACCCACTTACCCGTGGCTGAGAAACATGGCAATGCCTCTGACACTGACGTATAGGTAGATGTTGTTCTTTAGGAGACAAGATCTTCTGAATAAACAACAATGTTATCTGCTGACATTTTCATTTTCAATTCCCTAAATATGTTTTGTAATATTGACTAGTATATTTGCTAAGCTTACTTGATTGAACTTCATTTTCTTTCACTCAGGTTTAGGATGAGTGGTTCAAGGCAAGTCACAGATTGATAGGTTGTCCAAATGAAAGATATTTTCAGTGAATCACAACACCTTAATTTCATTTCCTGTATTAGTGGTGTCTTGAGGTCAGATTTGTCTGTAAAAGAGTGATATGGGGTCTTGCTTCAAGTGATTTCAGGGCGGTGGTTAAAGTGTTTGCTTATCATGCTGAAGACACAGGTTCAATTGCCCACATGGTTACAATGTGTGAAGTCCATTTCTGGTGTTCCACGCCATGATATTGCTGGAATATTGCTAAAAGTGGCGTAAAACACACTCACTCAGGTGAATTCATGGCTGTCTGAAGCAGAGCTAATCACAATTTGTCTAAGACTGCATTTTAGGAGGTATTAATAACTCAGTACTCAAATGGTGTCCACATACTTTTCATGACTGATAAATATCTGCCGGTAGATCAACACATCCATCTGTTAAATCTTTATGAATATTATAGGGTTATTCAGCTATTTACTATGCCTCGCAGGGGGGTTGAAGGCGTGAACTCTACAATTGCAGTCAATGTTTAACTATTTAGTACTAGTAATTTGTTTGGTTTATGTTTCTTGCTGTACTTGAAATGTTGGGACTGAAATTTTTTTATAAAGGGAGGAGATGGTTTTGGAATTAATACGGTATCATACACTTCTTTCACCCCTTCCGTCTCTCCTCCTCACGCACACATGTGCGTGCACACATACGCATGCACACACGCATAACTTGATATTAGGATAAAACAACTAGTCCCTCCAAATTTTCTTTCGATTTGGACTGTGGGTAGATAAAGATCTGACCTATACTTTCCCATAAGGATGAGAAGAAAATCATGTATCTATAAATAGTTTTTCAAATTAAATATGAAATTGGAAAGATACTTTTAATTACCCCAGTGTTAACAATTCAATATTAGGTATGTTTAGGGGGGTCCCTTGATTCAACTTCTTTGGCAGCAAACCTCAAGGACCAGAGAGGGTTGGTGGGATAGCCTAGTGGTTAAAGCGTTAGCTTGTCACATCAAAGACAAAGGTTTGATTCCCCATATGGGTACAGTGTGCGAAGCCTTTTTCTGGTGTCCATGCAATGATTTTGTTGGAATATTGCTAAAAGTGGCGCAAAACTAAACCTCACTCACTCACACAAGGACCAGAGAAACATGGTAATTTCATACACTGTGTGTAAGTACTTGCATGTAGTATCATTGGAAGATATGATTTATTCTGTGTCTCTTCACTGAGAAATTTATGTCATGCAACCATGTCAAGCATGTCTAGAATCGGTTTATCGATGCTGTAGACCATTATCTTCGGGATCACGTAGGAATCAGTGAATCATTGATGAAGCTCGTGTCAGTGTAGGCCCTCCGATGTTGTGATTGTATCAGTCTTAATTGAAACTCATCTCAGTGCAGTTTCTGTCCATCAGGGAAGAGAAATGGTGAAATCTGGTAGATTACATCAGGGATATTAGCTGGATTACATGATACAGAACTATATGCTGGTTAATGTCTGTGTGAACCAGGGGTGTACCACCTGTTTTGTCAGCGTGATTGTCAAGTTTGATCATGACTGGACAGCATGACAGCAATCTGATTGACATGTTTTTATTAGACAAGATATACTGAAAGAAACAAATAAAGGGTCACAGGAAAATTCAAGTG